AAAATTGCATGGTTTCTCAATCTGGCTCTTCAACTAGTTGTTGAACTTCAACTTCTCACCAACTATTTGACAACTAGTTGTTGAAATTCACCAAATAATTTTCTCCGCGTTCCCTCCCACTGTACCCCTAAGATATTCATCTAATCTCTAATCATCTAATTGTTGTTCCAAGAGTCACTCGTATAAATCCCAGGAAGAGAATCACCGTTGATCCAACGAGAGAGCCATCCAATTCCTTTCACGTCGACCCGAGAGGTAAACATTATCTGAGGCGCTGTATTTATCACTCACGCCAGAGACGTGAACTGTATAGTACCTTTACTTGTGCTCAATGAACCGAAGTTAATAACGACTCCTATCCTTTGATTCCTCTTTGGGAAAGCACTGAATGCCCCTATATATCGATGCAGACCAACGATAAATCCCCGGGGGCTTCGTGTGCAACATGTTTTATTGTAGAAAATTGTTAAAAAAACCGATGGAGCGGTTTTTTATGTCTTCGTGATAATAAAATGAGCACAACTCGATTGTAATGCATCATTTTAGATGAATGCACTTGATTCTTACGAGCTGTGGATTATGGATTATGCGGAGGTGTAGGCATGGTTTATATACGTGTCAGATGTCGAATTATAGAGTCGTAAAGAGGGGATTATTCTCGATACGAAGTGGAGCAATTTGGTTTAATTCAATTGAGGCGATAAATTTATAAAAATACAGTCGCAATTTTTTTCTTCTGAGAATAAGCATTTCGGATATATAATATTTACCGGATTTTTTTTCATCCGAAGGGAATAACTGAACTGAAATTCACAGTAATCTTATCAAAGACAGACGAAATCGCAATACAGAATTTAAATAATTTTATTACGTGCACAATCAGCCAACTGTATTGTACAATTTTTCATTTTTTATTTTATTGATGATCAATCAACATTTTCAATTCTTCAAACATTTTGTAAATCAGTAATCAACTGCGCAAAAATGATGATTATTAGCTTAATTGAACAATCAAATTCAGATATTCAGAATCAATTGTTTAATTATAATTGAGAATTCAAAATTATGTCCCATTTGTTTTCTTCAACTCTGGTCATCTGAAATGTACTTGAATAACATCTTTCCAACCTTTCATGACGTTTAAAAGCTTCAGATAATTATTTGCCCAAGAAAACCTAGACTTTTTCGATAAAACACTCGTCGGGCATTCAGTTACTGAGACATTTACCTCATCATGAACTCACGGAAATGAATTTAGTGTCACATAATCACGTGAAATCTATTTCATCTCGAAGCCATCTTGAATGTTTCTCCGGGAATGTTCTCGATTTCCTCTCCATATCACCACCAAGTTTGACGACAAACGGATAAACAGGGTCTCGCTTTCGAAATAATCATAACGCGTAGCTGCACATTTTCCAACGTGTAATTAAAAGCTACATGATTTGCTCCCGGGAATGGTGAAAATTATCTGTAAACGGTTTTTCTGCCCCACTTTTTTTTCATCTCTACGAACAAGACAATTAACGTGGAGAATAACCCGATAATTAGTCTCTCGATGACATTTTACTCAATGGAGAGGAAAAAGTTCGCTCATTGGAATGTTATTTAATGGGTGAATGCTGTTTCCTCCGGCAATTGCTATTGTAATTAATGATTGTTCAACGAAATAGCAGTGCAATTACTCATTCTCCACGCGAAAAAATTATTTTATTGCACCTAACGGAGATACAATTGATCGTCGAATAAAGAATGATGCTTTGTTAAAATTGAAATTACGTGAAGAATACCTCGTCGTCCCACCATTTTCCAAATCATCACGAAAGCTCAATTTTTCAATTTTTCAAGTTTTTCAAAGAAAATTATTCCATTTCTGTTAATAATTCATTTCCCTCAAGAGTTCAATAAAGACACCACAAATCTCTCGCTTCAAGAATAATTACAAAACTCAATTTTCAATTTTTAATTTTTCAAATTTTACACAAAATTTTTCTACTTGTCAAAGATATCACAAATTTCTCATTTCAAGAATAATGACTCCCACAAATTGAAATAAAATTTAAAAAAAAACAAAAAATTAAAAAAAAAAGTTACAAAAATTCAATTTTTCAAATTTGTCCCAAAATTCTTCTATTCTCATCAAATCTCATTTACAAAAATAATGATTTCCAAAATTGGAACGAACCAAAAAAACCGTTTTGCCCTCCATTTGTCCAAATCATCCCAAAGATTAAATGTTTATTTTTACAGTTTTGCGCAAAATTTTTTTGCTCCCGTCAGTGACAGCCCAAGCCTCCCCGCACCCCTCACCTAAATTCGACACCTCCCTTTTATATCTAAATATACCGAGGCACATGCCCCCCGCCTAGACCACGCACCCATCACCCTGAAATACCCACAAGTGCATTATTTGGGCAGACTTTAAACATCACGTGTGTGTCACACAGCGTATGCCATATCGTTACCCCAGCACTCCAATGTAGTGCCTCTTATTGTCAAGCATCCGTGTTTGAAGCGTCCAACCAGACGGCTTGTACAGCCGGTCCCCATGTTCACTCGGTCGCGCAACTCGTTCAACTCTTCCTCCAGTGCAGTTGTACACGGGTCATCTCTTCATCCAGTTGTCACTGACAGTTCCCACCTCCCGACAAAATTCCCTCATTAAAAAAATCGGTCATTAAAGAAAAGATTTAAAAAATCGGACATCATCGAGAGCAAATGAACCGCAATTAAACAATTACCGGGTTAAACGGTTTTATTTGTGAACGTGGGAAGCAATGGAGCAGTGAATCAAAGTGTCAAAGATCCCCAGTGATACATCATCCCGGTAATTTCGTAATTGACCACGCCTCGATCATGTATCTGATCACCGCGTAATTCAAATTCACAAGTTAAGTGCATAAAAGGATGTAGCAGCATTGCACGAGTGAGATCGACTCCCCGGGTGATCAGTTCTGGTACATTATTACTGAAATGGCATCGCCATTTTCCCAAGGAGACTCGCGATTTTTCTTTCAGTACAAGTGTTGTGTAATACACGCAACGTAATACGGATATAATCACTCGACGCATGCGGAAAAATTGTGCAATGACGTATACAAGAGGTTTTTGAAGTTTTCAGGTATTTTAACGGGTTCCGAAGGTCATGGTACTGTGGAAATGCTTCCAAATGTCATATTTGAATGGACGTTTTTATTACTAGAAAGAAAATTGAAAACCTCGTAATTAAAAAAAACATTGCATTTGGTTTAGAGGAAAACAAATCGCGAAATTTCAGATTGCACTGAAAATTCGGTGAAAATTCTCATTTTTGAGCTGTAATAAGCCGAAAACACTTGGAGTTTACTTAAATTTTCAATGAAAACTTGAATATTTAGTACCAAACTACGCTAAATTTGCAAATCATTAAAAATGGCAAGTAGAAGTGGTTTTTGAAGTTTTGAGGTATTTTAATGGGGTTCGAAGGTCAAAATACTATCGAAATACTCCGAAATGTCATATTCAAATAGGATTTCGTCAGGTGTATTCAAGTTTTTAAATTTTAGAGAGAGAACTTCACTATTACGAAAAAAAACTGAAATTTCTTGAACTGTTGACAAGTGATTTTCAGGAAACAAATTATGAAGCTTCAGATTGCCCTGAAAATTCAATAAAATTCCAAATTTTTAAGCTACAGAAAGACGAGCATTCTTCAATTTACCGAAATTTTCAATGAAAACATGAATATTTAGTATCAAATTCCACTGAATTTCCAAATCCAAGAAAATATTTAACAAAATTTTCCCCACTTCTATTTTTTGTATATAATAATTGAAAATGAAATCTACACTTCGCCGTAAACGTTTCATAAAATGTTGAATTTTCAATAACGAAAATCCTCCAAATTTCAGTGAGACTGAAAAGTGACAAAATTCTTCAAGTGCACCGAAATGTCCAGCCGAAAGTGATTAACAGTCTTAATACGTGACAGAACCACCAATAATAAAGATAAAACTTGAAACACGCTCTCAAGGCCGCGTACATTTGATTAGTATTCCCGTGACGTCAGGAATTTTCCCAGAATGACTCGAACCATTTTCGTACAGACTAGAATACTATTCGATTTGTCGATGATTCCTTATCTCCGGTGTACACAAATCCCTGTTGAGATACACCTCACCGAAATCATCAGCAGAGGGGGGGAATTGAACGGAGATGTGGCGTCAACATTTATCACTGTCAACACGATTTAGTCTCACGTGATAATTACGTATACCCATTCCCGTAAAAAGTCGTGATCAAGTCGCCAAAATGAAAGTTGAAATGCGCAAAACAAGTGAACTATAATTTCATAAAAACTCAAAGTGAAAAGTGAATTTGCGTGTGCTGAAACGATTGCAATTCCTCCCCTGGACGGGAAATATACGGGAATAGTAGTGAACCGCAAGTTGGATTGGTACATTGAACCTACATTCCATGGAACTTGAATAAACCGCGAGTCACAAAGTACCAGGTGCAGTTATAATTAGAGCTACGTGGGTTCAAGATCGTACAGTAGACATGATTATTGCGGTTCTATGGGAGTTCACAAAACGGAATTCAATTCAATCTATTTCCCATCAGAACAAATGTTAGTGAAGCAGCTCACGTAATCCTCCAAGTGCCAATCATAATTAGAATATCGGGTCTAACAGCTAAGGAAACCCTGCAAAAACAATCAGAATCAAAGTCTAAGTGACTATAAGTGTGTCCTTGGTTTCAATAAATGAAATATTAAAGTGTGAAAGATAACAAGTTGTGATTGAAGCTGTATTCGAACTTTTAATCATTTAAAAATCCCAGGTGTTAGTTGTGGAAAACCTGCAAAAACAGTCAGAATTGAAGTGTAACTCTGAATAAACGTGTCTTTGGTTGAAATACATTGAATATTAAACTGTGCAAGGCAGCACGTACTGACTAAAATACTCCTAAAGCTTCTAATAAGCCTAAAGCTTTAAATTTTGGCTGAGAAAAGTCATCAAAAAGCATCAAAATCCATTCGAAAATTAAAATCGTCTTTGATTACAATATGAATATTAAACTGTGCACGGCAACAAGTTACAATTGAAGCTGTATCTGAACTCCTGATGATCCGAAAACCCCAAATTTTGGCTTAGAAAAACCTAAAAAAGCAGCCGAAATCAAAGTTCAACGGTCTTTAAACATCTCCCAGATATTAATTAAGGAAATATCAAACTGTGCAAACTAACAAGTCGTGATAAAGCTGCCCTAATCGTCTCCAAAAATATCAAAATCAAAGTCCAACTGCTTCTAAACATGTCTTTGCGTCCAACGAATAGACTCTTAACCGTACAAGGCGACAACTAGTGACCAAAATAGTATTAAGACTCCTAATAATCCTAAAGCATTGAATTTCTGAGGAAGCCCGCCAAAACGCATCAAAACCAAAGGCCAAGCCTCCAAACGTCCCTTCAATTCCAATGACTAAAACATTAAACTTCACAAGCCAAAAGTGACTGCAGCTATCTCAAACCGTCAAAATTTGGCCGCGGAAACTCTGCAAGGAAACTAGCATCAAATTCCAGCTATAGATCAAAGTCCAATTGCCTCTGAGCGTCTCTTCAATTCCAATGACTAAAATATTGATCTCCACAAGCCGGAAACTCTGCAAGAAAGCAAGAATAAAATTCCAACTATAAACGCCTCATTGATTCCAATGATACTAAACTCCATAAGACAAAGAATCGTGACTGCAGCCGTCCCAAAACCTCAAATAATAGAGCCCTCAGGATGAACGAGGTCAGGCAGAAGTGGAGCTCGCCGCGATGCACGAGTGCAATCAGTCCTAACGATAACGGTGAACAGAAGTCAATGTACAATCCGGAGATTGGATCTGTTGATTTCCAGGAAGACACTAACGAGTCGGAGGCCAAGTTGTCGATGGATTCAGCTAGATCCAAGTTTCTAGTTGGTCTGACATGCCCAAGTCACTCAGAGCACGTGGCCGACTCGTGTGAGGCGATAGAATCTGAAGCGTTGTACCAAAATAACGCGTCCTTGAGCGGTGAAAGAGGCCTTCTGAGGAAACTCAACAGTAGCCCACTGTCCTGCTCCCCCAGTCTTGATCCGACAGCCGACCATGAAGCGATTCAAGACGTGAAGCGTAGGAGAAGACACAGTTCTAGTGTGGAGATCACTGCTATGACATGTGTGGAGGATGGAGTGCCGGTGATAAGCTTCAGCTTCCTACAGGGTGAGGAGAAGGAGGGCTCATCTGAGGGAGACAGTGGTGACAAGGACCTCCAGCTCTACGACTTTCCGAAAAGCAGTCGTGTCTCAGCTGAGCTGACGCCGGAGAACGGAAAGGCGTCTGAGGCCGATCGCAAATCTACGATCGACCTGTATGACTTCCCGAAGTCGCACCGTGCGGTTATGACCTGTCCTGAGGGACTCATGAAGGATCAGGACACGGAGATTGAACAGCTGTACGAGATTCCGAAGTCTAGACAGCTGGTCGACACGCCGAAGAACTCGGTTTCGCTGACCCTGGAGGAAGATCCTAAGAGGCCTGAGCTTCAGGGCTCGTACTCGGATCCCGAGGAGAACTACAGGAACCGGGAGAGAGGGAGGAAGGTCAGGAATCGAACCCTCGGGAGGGCCTGGGGCAGGATGAGAAGTTGGCTGAGAGAGGAGAAGCTCAAGATCGGGGAAGTTGTGCAGAGACATGCCAAGATGCAAGCTGTTGGTGCACTCAGGCATGATTCGGAGGCTTCAAGGAGTCGCGGATCCTATGATTTGGTGGAGGCTCGCACCAGGGAGTTGGGACCAATCACTGTTATTGATGAGAGCGGATTGTCGTCTGTGTCGGAGGAGGTGAATGTGGAGGAGATCAGGGAGACGGAAGTCAAGTCTTACGACTTGGTGACACGTCTGGAATGTCAGGCTGATGAGAAAGTTGGGGAGAAGGGTGGGGTGAGGGGAGGACTACGGAAGAAGACAACGTCAACTAGTGCTGAAAATGTTGCTGCGGGGAGGATGAAACTTACGCCAGTTTCATTTAGTCTTGATAAATTGTGCGATGGGGGGGAGGGGGAAGTGAATGGCGAGAAGGAGACGAGAAACGCTGGGAAAGGTGGGATTATTAAGAGGAGAATGCTGGGATCAATCAGGGGATTAATGGCTTCTACTCATCTACTGCATCAGTGCGATACTGATGAGGTAAAGTTACTTTCTGATTTTTGGTTTTTTTATGTTTCGGTATTATTCCCGGGCTATTGTTCGGTCAACCTTCGATTTTTTGAGGCATTAATGACGGAAGGAGGGATGCTGTATGCATTCACTTTCTGAGTCTCTGTAGGAGGGAAACAATTAAATGATAATTTATACACAAATTAAATAAAAATTCGGAGGCACGCGGACCAGAGCGAATGGACTATTGCGTAATTTTGGCTCATCTCGTGGGCGTTTTTTTGTGGGTATTTTTAAACTGTTTCCATGAATTTAAATTGGACTGATGGAGTTACGTCAGTCTTGGGAGGAATTGAATAACACGAGTTGTGGAGTCACGCTGGTTAGTTGAGCGTTTCCGACTGGTACATTGTTGCAGTTTAGGGGGATGGGGGGAGTTACGTGTGGTCGGAGTGAGAATAATTGTTCGTTGCTGTTGGATAATTGATTGAGGGTTATTGGTTGAATGAGAAGGGTTGGGGGAGGCTTGAGGAATTTTTTTAAAGGGATGTCTTTGAATTTGGGGGAGGGAGGGTTTCAAAAAAGACCTCGTGAGAATTTTTCCATCTTCCCTACATTCTAAGACAAATATCACAATTTTTCACAAAGGTTAGTTAATTTAATGAAGGTAACATCCAATCTGTTCTTGCAAAACATCTTCTATTCAATAAATGTAACAAATTTTTTTTAATCCAACAAAACCGTCGAAAAAGTCGCCATTTCCAAAAATCCCAACATCAATTATTCCATCGAGTGATAATAACTGTCTAGACCATTTCCCCCCATTTTCTCCACTACTCCTGCATTTATTTCGATCAAATCACTCGAGTCAAATTTCAAGATGAATATCACAATTTCCTTAAACTTTAGTAATAATTTAATAACAAATAAAATCCAATTCATTTTTGCAAAATACCTTAAATTCAATAAATTAACAAAATTGTTTAAAATATTTTAAAAACCGTTGAAAATGTCTCATGTCCTTTAAAAATTAATCCTCAATCAAAGTTCGCTAATCTCATCTCATAAAAAGTCCCAACATCAATTATTCCATCGAGTGAGAATAACTGTCCAGAGCATTTCTCCCCAGTATCCCCTCCCCTCATGCAACCACTCGAGTAAAAGTTCCAATTTGATATCTTTTCTGATTTACCGGATTTCCAAAAAAAAACGTGATAATTAAATCGTTAAACCAGTTTCATTATGAATTGAAAGTTACCTCCTGAATAAATTAAAATGCAATAAATAAATTTTCACAGTATCCAGGTGTTCATAAAATTCATGATTATTATAATAACCCCCACTCGACTCGGCTGAAAGTCAAGTGGAGAATGGGGCGGATAAAAATCGGTTACAATGAGTCAGTTCAATGTTTACTAGACTATTAATTTAACCGAGGGGATCACGAGTGCTGCGGAGAGGCTCAATCGTGCACTCCTGGCCCATGGAAAGTGTGGGAAAGTTGCGTGGTGAAAATACGTCTTTATTTCTGCTTGTGTATCTATGATGCACAGGTTGAAGTTACCCATGAACGAGCGGAGCTAACTCGGCAACTTGCATTGAGATCTTTTCACAGATACGTCAATGAGTATTGACCGGAGGGAATACAGTGATTGTGTTCCAGAGTATCGAGATTAATAAAATGTTAATGCAGCTGGGTGCGAGGCAGTTTGCTCGGGCAGAAAATGAAATATTCCGGGAACGCGTGCGAAATTAAGTGTGGAAGAAAGTTTTATTTGTTGTTGGAAACATGTTGGGGATATTTTGTTATGGTAACGGTGATATTTTACTGGAGAATCTGAAAGTTTATTCTTCATTCTTGTTGTAATTGAGACGTAGTTATTCGGGATTATGATTTATATTTATGTGGAGAGCAGGGGAACGGGTCGGAAAAACATTCGGAGAGAATAATGTTTAGGCATTTAGTTAAGAATTTCCATTTGTTTTTTTTGTGGAAGAATTAATTATGAAAAAATTTCAAGCATTCAATTCGTTCACAGAGAGCTTCAGATTATTATTTACGCAAGAAAACAGTTTTTCGTGAAAAATGTATTAACAAAACATTGAAAATTTATACCAAGAGTTGATCAAAGCGACCGAAAAATAAATATAAGTTTATTAATGAAGATGAATTCCGCATTCTCTTTGAATAATTGTTTCCGTGGAAATTCCCCAAGATAAATTTTCTCACGCGTGTCCTTGATTTTAAATAATCCACTGGAGAAAAAACATTAAAATTTTTGCTGAGAGAATGATCAAAGCCACCGAAAAGTTCCACTGCAATTATTAAACATAAAAGAACGCAATAATTACAAAAAAATGAAAAAATTATAAAATGGTCTCAAGGGTGATCACTCCCTGCGGCTTGCAACACCTTCAGATCCAGTTTCTTTCTCTCACCATTGAATCGACAAGTGGATACAACATTATCCCGAAGGTCATGCAGCAATGAGGCATGAGAAGCATGAAAAAAATGATTTACGATGGAGTGAAATCACGAGTAACGAGCAGATGAGTGCACTCATCAAATTGTAAGGCTCGATACGATAATCAGAGAAAGTTTATACTCATTTTTATTTCATCTTTCGTGCACTGGTATGGCAATCGTTGATTGCAGTCGTCTTCTGGGACGTGGAACCCATTTTCATGAGCTTTGGGCTCTGCGTGAGGTTGTTGACGGGTTTAATCGGCATTTCGCGATCATTATTGCAACCACAATGCATTATTTCCAAGCCAAGAGTGAACTGAGGAGAAGTAATGACCAAATTGAGAAGATCGTCCTCAATTCGAAAACATTCTCCTCGTTCAAGACCTTGTGTGATTGAAGGCTATAGAGAATGTTGTTGTTGGAAAATAGAAAATTTTTTGTTGAAATTTGACGAAGAGTTATTCATTTTGTCCTTTGAATTGATCAGTGAATTGGTCAATTTGTCGAAAAAGGAAAAATGTTTTCAGGATTTTTGGAGATATTCGATGGGATTTAGTTGAAAGGAGAATATGAATTTCAAAACTTCAGGTAGAATTCAGAGGAATTAAGGGACAGTTTCATTGAAATTTCAAGGAATTTCGTCATTAAAAATTCCCAGTTTGATGAAGAAATCAATGGAAACTGTAAATTTCTCGTCAGTTATTCCATGAAAACTGATCGCAATCAGGCAAATTCAGGAAAATATGTTCTTAAATCTTCAATTAATAAAAACTTCTGTTTAATTTTTCCATTTCTGCTCATCTAAAACTTGGAATTCCATTAATTTTCCGGTGCACTTCCAAATTTTATAATTTCTTTTTCCACTCAATCCAATTTAATGTCATTCTCCTGAAAATTAATTATAAACTGTCCATACAATTTCAATTTTTTTCTAACAATAGAATTAAATCTAAAATTTAATATGAATATTGAAATGAAAAAAAAAACACGTGAATTTTCCCAATTTTCCCGGAATAATTGACCCGAAATAACGGGAAAATCACCAGAAATTGTGTTTTTTTCACGACGACATTTCAACAAAAAAGATTCTTGTTAAAAATTCGCAGAGTTAGTCTGCAATACTTATTATTCAGTCAAGAAAGTTATTTTCTCCATGCAATTGGAAAATCCGACATCATACCCGACCCCTTGGCATGACTCCAAACGCAGAAAGTAGAAAGAAAGAATAAAAATAATGTCTGAATGAACAATTCCAGGTAATTTGTCACGATGAGTGTCATGGGGGGAATCGCTGAGGCCGTGAAAGTCATCAAAATGGCCTGAAAAATAATTCACATTTCACTTTTTTTTTTCACCGGAGCGATCCGTTTACTATCGATTTCATTTTACATTTCGTCGTCTCCAATTTGATGATTTTTTTCAACAACTCGTTGAAGAACCTGTTCCACTCGCGCTTGATAAAAATTATGTTATCAGTATGTAGAGCTCCCGCAGCGTGCGCTGGCTCATGAAGTCTCCGGTATCGGCTTCACGCTCTGCTGGATACGTCAGAGACATTTTTTCTCCGCGTCTCCCACTCCTGATTAGCGACCAGTTGAATAATTATTTGCGGCGCGTGCGATACAGGCGACATTTTTTTGTATTTCTAATGAGGAAAATAGGGAGTCATAACGGTTGCGAGTGGAACTAGACACTTGGACTACTTTCAAATCAAATATGGAGATCGGTTTTTTGTGATTCGATGATTTGTTTTCGTTACTAGCGTTGATGCCCTTTCATTGTGCCCTTTCTCGTGCAAGATTCGATTTTTAAAAAATTAATTATTTATCATCATTCTCATTGCAAAAGCAATACGACCGATGGGAATCATCTGTCCCAATGTATCGGCTGTTAATTTTCCCGGAAAATTCAGAGAAACTTCTCCTTGAATTCCAGATTCGCCTGAATTTTCAGGGAACTCCCTGAAAATTCAAGGGAATGCAGAACTGACAATTCATTTTCATTTGAAAATTCACTCAAATTGTGGAATTTACGTCGTCTTGCCACTAAGAAATTGGAACTTTACTTGAATTTTCAGAGAAACTCGAAATTCCATTGATTTTTTCTCCTTAAATCGAATTCAAGGTCTTTTCCCGGAAAATTCACCTAAATTTTTTGAAAAGTGTACAAGTATCAACCACAACCAAGTGAATGTAAACAGTATTCTTTGGTGAACAGCAGATTTATGAAATTACAGAGACCCATTTAGCCCCACCTCTCATATTTATTAAATACATAAAAAAATCATTGATTTCGAATTAATGAGATGATTCCAAGTCAACTGCAGTAATAAATTCACGTTGCGTAATCCTTGAAGTCCTTGTAATTTTATCTTCCCTAAATCACTGGAATCAATGCCGTAATCACGTGAAATCAACTTCATTTCGAAGTCATGGTGTCACTCAATCATGTACAGACTAGCCAATTCAAACATTTTCAAGAAATGAATATAAGAGTTGAGTTTATCAATTTCCAACAAAAATATTGTTGAAATGAACAGAAAAATTTCGAATGAAGACTTATTTAATTGCTCAAGTGCCTCATTCCTCGGAAAAAATTCTCTTACCTCCCTTAAATAATTGATACCATGCTTGAATTGTCTGCTGAACACCTGGTGAGTCTATCCCCTCGAATTTCTAATGCATACAGAGTTCTGATATTATTTCATCGGCCACACTCCAATGGCCAAGGTGAAAGGCAGCCGGAAGCACGGGTTTCTGTTATGGAAGACTTAGATTCGACGTCTCTCAACCAATTTTTGTTTCATTACTGTTTTTATCTGTTGTCTTCACCGATGTATGTGGTGTGACGTAATATGCGGAATGTGCGAGAGTCGAGTGAAATTGGCGTGCTGATTTGCCAATGAAAGGGGATGATGAGGTTGAAGGACAAAACGGAAATCGTTGGGATGGAACGGCTCGGGAACACAATGAACTCTCGCTGATGCATCGGTGATGAGATAAGTGACTAGTGCGGTTTCTCTTCGAAAGGGCTTTCGCTTAGGGGAGAGGCATTTAAACAATGGGATGAGTCTTAATTGATTGATTGGCGAAAAAACTCAATTGTCGGATTGAAAAACGTGATTTTTGAATCTGGCATTTCTGCTGGACCGCATTCTCTTAATTATCTCGTTAATGAGTTGGTTTACGTGAAAAAATCATAAAACCTTTTTTGTAGCTGAGAAAATTTCCAACAAAAAATGTATTATCACTTTTTCTCCTGGAATCATTCGTTACTGAGATAATTCCGATTTAGTGAATTGTGAAATTCAATCGTGAATTTTTAGCCGAAAAATGTAATATTATTCAACAGATCGATCAGTTGAATGCGGGGGGCCGAGCCCCTCCGGATTGGCTAGCGAAGCAAGCAATGGGCAAAGCCCCCCGTAAAATAATATTCAAGTATCTTAATATGCAACAGGACGTAGAGTAAAGATGAAGCCATTGATTTTTTTACATGAATTTTATGGCGAAATCAACTCATGAAATTGAAGAGCGAATTCATCGGAAATTAGTGGTGGAATAAAACATAAGTACTCGAACAGACACGGGGGGCCGAGCCCCCCACCCGGAATGGCGAGCGAAGCAAGCGAGGGAGCGGAGCCCCCTCATACAATAATATTCAAATTTCTTGATGACCAACAGTAAGTGGAATTCTCCGAATTATAAAATTTCCCTTTTATCATCAATGAACCTGAATTAAGCTTCCTATCCCCGCAATAAACTGCAGAAAGGTTTAATTTCCACTGGCCCTGCACTCCGGCAACCGCGAGTGCACGACAAATTACAATAATTCCCCATCCTGAGGTAAAAGACATTAGAAACGGTGGATTACGTGCCCCACAGAGCGTATTTACCGCTACACTCGTCTGCCAGTTCTGCTCATACGGAACAAGCGTGCCAGTGCATTTCTCCAGAGATGATGTTCACGGGGTACATGTGGCGTGTAGCCCCCGGGTGACGAGTTTACGCCTGAATTAGCCATTAATCATTGGCTCTGGATGAATTCATTCGGAATTACATTTTGACTCATCGTTTTTTATTGCAGACTGGTCCCGGTGGCTTCGAGGATGTCCGGAGGTACGTCAAACAGGGCGGTGACTTCTGCAAGGAGCTCGCGGCGGTTCTCCACGAGAGGTACTATCTCATCTTCGATTAATTAGGACTGAGGGAAACTTTCAAATGTCGCTCGGACTAATTTGCAAATTTATTGGTGTTTTTGCTTCCGAGTGGAAGCATTGTATTCGTCAAATACGAAATTGCCATTTTTTTGTGTCAGGATAACTAATTTTGGCCGCAGGAATTTAAATATACTATTTTTGGAGGACGTGCAATAATTGCTTAAATTAATTCAATTGTGATTTAAAATATTCCTCTCAATGTCATCTGGACCAAGTTCAATCATGAGATTGATTATATCATATTCAGGGAAAGGTAAACAATTTTAACATTGCGACAATATCGGCTGCCAACGTTGGGGCAACGTTGGGAGAATGTTGCATTCAATAGATCATTGAATTTAATTTAAAATACACCGTCATAAAAATTCCACTCGGAAGCAAATGGCTAATTTGTCGCCAAAAATATATTGTCTACATTGTGACGAAAGCAATTTCCCACTTGTTTTTTTTTTGTGAAGAGCCGAGCTGGAAGCTAACTACGCGAAGGGACTCAGCAAATTGAGCAGCAAATTAACGAAGGCATGCGCGAAAGATCAAGGTACTGAATTTTTTTATAACATAAATTTCATGAGAACCAATTTTTTCTTGTCGATCATTTTCATTAGCATTTCGTTAAAAAAAATTGTTCACCAAGTGGAGTCGACTCATGCCCTGTCACTCCGTTACAGTGATTTTGCAGTTTTATAACTGTAGACACTATCATCTTGACATGACATCTTCCCACATGAATTGTAATCCGATTACCCCAGAAAAAATCGGATACAAAATTCCCCAAATTACCATAGAAAGCACCGGTGTAAGTGCGAGAATGGGAATAATTTATTCGAATCAACCGTTCGTCCAAAACAATTAAATAACAACCATTGGGTAATGTTATCTTCAATGCCCCCAGGTGGAAACAGCTCGGGTGGTGTGAACGAGGCGTGGCGAAATGTGGGTGAGGAGATGGAAGCAGCAGCGGAGGCGCACAGACTGTGGGGCATAGCCCTCAGCGAGCAGTTGGCAAAGCCCCTCAGGGTAAATAAATCGTTTCACATAACTACTGAGTTATGAATAATTTCGAGTGTCACACGCGAGCGATCACTGCGGAATTGTGGCTGAATTTCTACTAAGATCGTTACAGTCATGGGAACTTTCGATGATAACTTCTTTTTTTTTTAGTTGATCAGGTTATTAACCGTTGTGAATAGGCTTTTCGTATAATTTTTTAAAATGCTGGATATGAAAATTTGGCAAAAATATTAAACACGTCTTTTTCTATTTCGATTATTAACGAAAAATCAATAAGTAGTTGTAAGCAATTCAAATTCAACTTCTTATATGAGTTTTTTTTTCATTTTTTAAAATAAAAAAACTACGTATGCAATACCTTATGCCCAATTGTTTAATCCGATAAACAACTTTCAATTGCCGGAGACAAAATAAATACTATGGGAATCATCTTTCAAATTGTTGCGCCAAAGGAATCGGGGAATCCCCCGTCAACATAATCTCATAATAGTTTTGCTCAAACAAAAACTTTTTAGCCATTTATATGAACACCATCCAAACTGGAGAAAAATAATAAGTTTTAGTTCTACCAAAACGGGCACAATCCCCAGATCCACATGTAATCTCCCCTTTATCCCCCCAGGTTGGTGTCGCAGAGGCTCAAGGTCGTTCCCGAAAGGTGATCGAGAGTTCCGTCGACAAGGCATCGAAATCCCTGCAAGAATGGCGCAACGTCGCAGCGAAGAGTAAAAAACAGAGTTTTGCATGTGCCCGTGAGAACGAGCGCCTGCAAGATCTAGCCCGAATTCAATCAATCACTCAATCCCAGCAGAACAACAACAAGACCTCGACCCACCACATGACTGAGAAGGAAGTCAACAAGCTGGAGAATCGACGCCGAAAGGCCGAGGACGGTTCAAGAAGAGCGGACACTGAATTCTACACAGTGAGTGTGAGAGCAGAGCGTGCAAGACTTGAGTACGAGTCGACAGTGCGAAAGGGAGCGAAGCAGATGGAGCTGCTCGAGGAGGAGAGACTGAGTGCCCTGAAGGACCTGGCTAACGTCTACCTGTCGCACCTCCAGGCGCTCGCCCCAAGACTTCAGCAGAGTGCAGATCGCCTATCAACACCTGTGAGGAACTGCAATGTCTCCCTGGACGTCGACATTCTGAAAAACTTGATCAGAAGATTGGACAACAACGAGGCGTCTAATGTCGACCAACTGCTGCCTGACTTTTACGCAGAGCACGTCACCCTGGCGATGAACAGGGAGAGGCGGAAACAGGCATTGGTCAGAGTTCTCCACCTGATCAGACAGGATCTCGACAGGGAGAGACGAGGGAGGGAAGGCCTGGAGACACTGCACAGGGCTTTCATTCAAACTCCAGCGTTCGCTGCTGACGAAAGCACTCAGAATGTCACGGACAAGCTCATTCACATGAGGTCCATGCTGACGTATTTGGAGGCAGCTAGGTACAAGGTCGGCGGTGCCCTGGCGGAGATCGAGGGGGGAAAGAGGCCGAAGCATCCTCTTGCCGAGCATATCCTCGTGTCCAGGGACAAACAGGGGCTACAGCAGAGCGTGCTGAAGGTCCCCACCTGGGCGAAGAACGAGTCTTTCGAGTCAGCTGAGGTGGAGGACGACATCGAGATCCATCTGACCAAGGAGAACGACGTCGAGAGGAATGACTGGGTGGACAGGACCGCCGGCGATGGCAACTCCGAGAATCCTCCTGATGAAGAGGATTTCAGTGATTTCGATGAGTTCAGCAGCCAGTCGGAGGATAACAATAATCAGGAGGACGTGGGGGATTTACCGGAGAAGATTGGGGGAGAGCAGTGCAGGGCGTTGTACCAGTACTCGGCTAATTTGAATGACGAGTTGAGTCTCAGTCCGGGGGATGTCATCACTATTCACCAGAAACAGGCGGATGGGTGGTGGATTGGGGAGTGCGGGGGGAGAACAGGCATCTTTCCGGCTACTTATGTGCAAGTCCTGCGTTGAGAACTTGGGGGGGAAGGAATCTTCATGAGGATTTCCTTGCAGAAAGCAGGAAAAATAGTTCCGCTCAATATTTTTTATTGCAAAACGAATTGAAGACGTTCATTTTCAGTTTATTGACTCGACTTCTGAATGAAGGGAACTATCTTTGCAGCAGTTGGATGAGTGTTCACAGAAACTTTTCTTGGAGATATTCATCAGAAACGCATTTATATTTGTGGAATTATCTCAGAAGATGTGAATGTCTGCGAAGACCTTTTTCTATTGAGAAAAATGAGAGCTTCGAGAACACTTCCTCTAGGAATGTCTCAGCCATCCCTGTTTAAGGAGAAGTTGGATATGAGTGAATCAACTCGTGTGGCCCTTCACCACTGAATCCTTTGCACGACATTTTTTATTGTGTTCGTACTTATTAGAACAGAGGGGTTTTGATTAGTCTGAAGAGGGAGTTTCAGGGATTCATGAGGTCAGGTAGAAGAGAGTCTGAACGGCTTCATTGCCAAGTCCTTGGGAATTGGCAGTCGCTCGAATTTCAAAGAAGTTAACGAGAACTGTATTAAAATATTATTATTCATGAGAAACTTTTACCAAATGTTGCATGCTGTATATAAGAATGATGTTCATTGAATGAAGTTGTGAGTTGTACATATGGTCGAAATTTTGTTATATGTGTAGTGTCATAAATAATGGTCGCAAATACATTTGTATATTTCAATTAGTCGCCTTTATTTTTGTATTATTGAGTACGTTTCAGTGGTATTCAACATTTGCTATTATTTTCAGGAATTTAATTTATTATATCAATTCATTATTAATAAAAATACTTGTAACGGAAAACTATATGTTCCACGTGAGGATATTTGATCGAGTGGAATCAGATTTAGTTGAGGAAAATTCACCAAGTTGATAGAAGGAAATTTAATATCTCGCAAAAGGTAAATTACTGTGCTCATCAGAAATATCTCGAGAAGAATTCACGAGAACAATTACTACTGCGAAAATTATCGTGTTTTCGTGGAAACTTTCTGTTTTAAATCTTTCGTTATGAAATATAACGTAAAAATAAAATACGATGTACATTATATGAATGGCAGTGTGAGATTATTGTCACGATGTTTCGAGTGTTTTTTTCCCATCGATGCTCAATTGATCCAGAATGTTTAGTCGATGACTCAACTCCTTCCTCTGGAAGAACTCCTTGAAACTCATGTCGATTTTTATTTTTCTTTAATTCTGTTCAGAATCCTATCTCAGTGTGCCACGTCGTCCAACTTTTGTACGACTTATGCACGGGGGATAATAAATCGGCGACAACGTGGCTCAATTTCGAAAAATAAACAACAAGCACTTTGCATCAGATATTATTTATCTGAATTTCGGAGGAATAATGTGATTTTTACATTCTACATAAAAAGATTTTCATTTTGTACTGATATTACACGCGGAAATTCAATAGCGAAGTGATAAAACAAATGCGTCCCCTTCAAGGTGACTTTCTTGAAAAACGTTGGAATCTAAATAAGATAGGATACATGGCAGAATAAAATGTTGAAAATAATGGACCGTAGAAAAAAATTTAATAGAAAGACCAGCGAATTCGCTAGAAAATTCTATTGGATTTCTATTAAATTTTCTATTAGTTTTTGGCTGATTCCGATTCTGAAACGGTTGCTCGACGATTCCTGCCTGCGAAGTCGTTTGAAATTCTAAAAGGAAAAAATAAAAAAAAACGTTCGCATCAGATATTCTTTATTGAAATTTTCAAGGCTATGACATCCCGTTATTTTTATTTCCTCGCGATAGTGCAGATTTTTGTTCCCAACATTTTATCCTTCTCGAAAAAATCGTGGAAATGTCTAGAAAATTCGGGGATTTTTTGGGGTACATCCTTTCGCATGCAAATGACTGCAATATTGCATTGCATTTTTTCCCACATGCGCCGATGTTTCTATTTCGATATCAATGTTGCGCTCATATATTGTTAGGTTTTCCCTCTTCATCAAGGCGCTCGAGTTCTCTGGAGATTTCTTCAAGATCATCGTCTTGAATCTCTGTAAAATAAAAATAATCTGAATTTTCTCCAAATTCATGACATGACTTTTGCAAGTGAAATGAATATCGATATTAACCGTAATAAGGTGCATATCTTGCTGTAGGAACAAAATATTTTCCTTGGGGTTCAATTTTGGCATTGATGCCCAGTTGCTGGCAAATACCGTCACACTTTCTGGTGTAAGTATAATACATTGCTTGGCACAGATCGTAATCCCATTTTATTCCAGTTAAGAATGACCCTTGGCGGCTAGCGGCGACTTCCAGGGACTCGATGAAGTACTCGGGAGCGTTTGAGTGGCTGCACATAGCTACTCGGGCGTGTTGAATTTGGCTCATCGTGAATGTAGTTGTGACCTCTGAACATGGATCCATAATAGTGATAATAAGTTTTAATCCGATAGTAAAATTTCTGTAGGAATTCCGTTGGTATCGGAAAGTCAGAACTACAGATGCGATCTTCTGGTTTAAAGTTTGATTGGCTTATTCTATTTTAATACTTCACTGCCAATGAGATACTAACCCAGAAAAAATTCCACTATTTGGTACGAGGCGCAACCAGGCTGAATTTCTCCTCCATTGAGATAGAAATCAACGTGACCTATGACAAAAATTCATTTTTAAAGTGAGGTTTAAAGGTTGTGCTATCCCTCTGATGGCAGGAATATTCAAATATTTTGGGTCGCTGTTCTACACTGGAACCACGGACGGTAGGATGACGGCGTGCTCCCGCGCGCCTCTATGACGTGCAATTAGATTAATGAGAAGTGATAGAATCACTTATGAGTGTGAGAGGGAGACATTAACTCAGGTAAAGTTCGATAATATTTTTTTCTACGCAGAGGTCTTTAACGCTGCTCTTCTTGTTTTTCGACCAATGAGTTACTTTAGCTCTAGTCCAGGTCAAGTCTATGGTGTAAACAGGTCCCCTGGTAGGAGATAAGGAATGGCCCAGGGCTGGCAAACATTGGGCCACCCTCGGCCAGACTTCGTCCATTCCTGATGTCCTACCAGGGCCTCCGGCTTTCGAGATAATTCAGATGTTATCGAAAAGAAACTCATACCAACGGCCTTTAACATGCCAAAAGTCGCTCCGAATTCTCGATTTCCATTTGTATGAATAATATCAACAAATGGTGCGTCATTTTTATCCAATGTATACTTGGTATCAGTGAAGCAAGGATGGGCCGGATCTAGTCCTGTGATTCTCTCAACATGCCATCGGGTTAACGGATCATTGGTGTTATTCTTAAAGTGATCTCCTATCATTCCAACAACGTGAGCACCCAAGCTAAACCCAATCAGGTGAACACTTCCCCATTTGATATTGTCCGGAAAAGTTTTAACGATTTCCTTTGCAAACCTAGGAGTGATGAACATCAAAATGAATGTGAATTTTTTCTCCATTGTGTTCTTCTTACATTCTTCTTGAACTTTGTTTGCGCGAATATTTTTTCCGACAAAGAAAAGATTTTATGAAAACTGATCTTTTCCAAAGTAGGCGGAACATGTAGGACGACTTTATTCTATTCGTTTGCTACAATATTGACGTATTTATTAAAAATAAAACTTACTCGGCAGTTTGATTCGCTACTATTAGAGTATTCTTAGCAGCTTGTACATAACCGGGACCAAATGCAAGTATACCCCAAGACACAACAATGACGTTAACATCCTCCTGAACAAAAATCGCAGAAATCAATGACAATCATTTGCACAGAGAGAAAAGACGATTTTCCAGGGGCAAAAAATTCTTACCACAAACCTTCTTTTATAAAAATTGAGGCAAAGTGGACCATTCTTGTGACAAGAATGTAACAATCGACGATCACGATTATGAATGACTTATTTGAACGGAAATATTTTTTCTTATATAATTGATCTTACAGACTCTTAATAAAAATAATTATTTTTGGAGATTGATCACAGGGATTTGAATATTTACGATAAGGGATTTCTACAGAGGAAAAATTTCAATAGACTGAGTTTCCCCGCAAAATGAAACTGTACTGGTCTCCCTATCTAGTACTTTCTGTCACCATGAAATTTACAAAATACACGAAGAGAAATATTCAATAAAAATTACGTATCTGTTCCGTAATTCCGGAGCGAAATGTGGTTTTAGGAAATTTTCCGGAACTGTCGCGTAATTTTTACTTAAAATTACGGAATTTTTCCAGAGCGTTCCGTAATTTTTGCTTGAATCTCCTGTGAAAAATTACGATACCGCCACTTAAATTTCGATTCCGTAATCGGTGAGCGAACTGTGAGTTCCGTAATTTTTACTGAACATTTCTCTCCCTGTAGAAATCGGCAAGAAGTAAGAGAAATATTCAATGTTATATCGAAGCCGCTGCACTGGAAAGTTCTTACAAATTTTTCCATGCATGCAATTACAATGGAATCCTCACATATTTCAAATAGGCATTCGCCATACGTTGCAACCAATCAGTGTCGCCAGTCCCAAGGTATCCATGTGTGATAAAGACCGTTTTCTTCTCCGGACTGAAGCCTGACGTTTTCATTAACTGAGTGTCAAGTTTTTCATCTTCCGCAATTAGGGCCTTCGTTATCGTTCCTCTAGAGCGTACGAGTAAAGTCAAACTTATGGCACCTGCGTGGAAAAAAGCAAACGGTGAACTTCTTGCGATATCAGGGGAGTTTTTTGCAACTCAGGATATTGATTCGTTGGATTCCGACGGACTTACCCCGATCGCTTGCGAGATAATAATCGTATAGGAGCCCTCCCAGTGTGAATGACCGCCAAACATCTATGGGTTCCTGCAGAATTTTCGCTAGAAAGGTCATAATACTGCTATTCGGACAGTCGACGTCTTCTCCCTTGTACCTACGAAACCGCATATGCTCACGGAGAGAAGATATATTTTGCACCCCGAAGTCAAAGTCAGATTTAAAATCGAATATTTCCTTGGCATTAACAATGCCGAGGAGCAAGACCGATAACAATACAATTAGAAAACACTTGCCCATGGCAGTTACACTTTTTCCAAAAGAAATAGTTCTTTTGAAAAACTGGCTAGATTTATATAACGCTCCGCGCTGCATCGAATATCATTCATCGTCTTCCTAGGAAGTGGATGAGTCATTTTGAGAAATAAAAAATGAGGGATAACAAAACACATAAACTATACTTTTTATATTTCGTAACGTAAAAATAAAATACAATGTACATTATATCCATGACAGTGTGAGATTATTTTCACGATGTTTCGAGTGTTTCTTTTCCATCGATGCTCAATTGATCCAGAATGTCGAGTCGATCCGATTCAGTGACAACTGGAGGAGAGAAAAGTCATGGAATCATTTGCTCCATATGGAATGATATTTTGGGGATAATCGAAGGGACTCACCACAGTAGGGGTTATTATTCCCAGTAGAGACGAAGAATGTACCCCTTCGTTCATATTTGTCAGCATTGATTCCCATTTCTACGCAGTCATCACTGCTGCAGTCCTTTCCAACAAGTTTTGATGCATTCAGCGGTGATTGATCCCACTCGTGGCCCCAGAATTTATTATTCATTTTTTCAGCTGCGAGACGCAGAGACTCTGTGAAGTAATCGTAAGAGCGCTGGTGACTGCAGACTGCTTCCATGATTTCTAGAGTGAAGATTTATTCAGTCAAGCGAAATTTTTCTTCTGTAGAAATTTTTTGTCGACAATATTCAATTTCTCTTGATCACACGGACGAAAAAATTTAATAGAAAAACCTATCGAATTCGTTAGAAAATTCTATTGAGATATTTTCTATAGAATTTCCTCGGCTTAAATTTTCCAAGTTTTTTCGTTTGATTTTCTTGATGAGAAGAAAAGGAAAATAGAATGAAAAAAACTTGGAAAATTTGAGTCGAGCAAATTCTATAGAAAATATATGAAAAGAATAAGTTGTATAGAAAAATCGAATTCTGTTGACTTTTTCTATTGAATGTTTTCTATTGAACATGTCAATAGAATCAGCCAATAACTAATAGAAAGTTTAATAGAAAATCAATAGAATTTTCTAACGAATTCGATAGGTTTTTCTATTAAATTTTGTCGTGCGTGCAATCTTCAAAAGTAGTTATTCTCATTTTAGAATGCGCCAATTTATGACAAGAATGGACTTGATCTTGGAAATCTGTTTTTTTTTATGTCAGTGTAGTACCTGCACGGGGTCTATCCCACTTCGATCCTTCCCTCCAACAGCCCGGCTGTCGCTGTCCACCGTTTGCGTAGAAATCCACATGACCTAATCAATAGACAAATCGGAAAAACCAATCAATCAACGTTTGTGTTTGAGACATTTTGCCTGATGTTTTGCATTATGATTTTCATTTCTTTAATGATGCCTCATACGTTTCGTGGTAGGTCATTCTCAAAAATCTGGTTAGGTGTTAAGCCACAGGCATGAAAATTTTCTAAAGGAAGAAAAAAATGGGACAATTTTAATCCCGCATGAGCTGTACCTATTGGATCCCTGAGCCCAAGTCCCATGCCTGCTAGTAATTTCCCATTCGTGTGGATGATATCAACGAACGGTGCATCTGTCTTCCTCAACGATAAGCCACTGGCAGCGAAGCAAGGTTGCGCTGGGTCCAATCCTGTTATCCTTACGATTTTCCACCTGCTGACGATTTCTTTGAAGGCCTCAGCTGCCATTCCACTCACATGGGCCCCTAAACTGTGCCCTATCAAGTGAATTTCCCCCCAATTTTTGGTTTCGGGGTAGGAAGCGACAGCTAGCTGCAGAAATCTTGGGAAAGAGGAGAGAATAGATTGAGGAAACAGTTTGACTTGAGATGCAGTTAGTCTGAATATAAATCAGTAGTGAAGCGGTCAAACGGTTCAAGTCGACTTAGCTCCTAGTTGACTTTTTTAAGAATATGTTGGAATCTAAGAGAGATAGAGAAATTTTAGTGACGACTCTTTTTATAGCTCTTATTTTTCTCTGCACTGAGAGAAATACGACAAAGTTCTCCAACAAGTCTTACTTGTGCCGAGAGAATAGTTTTTTGAAAATTATCAAAAAAGGATTTTTTTGTGCCAAACATGCAGCGAGTGTGCCGGAATGAAAAATTTTTGTCGCAAAAATAGATTTAGTAGTTCAAAAAAAATTGCATTCTCTGTACACGGAAGAAATGTTACTTCTAGCACTACTCCTTCGTTATTCGATACTCCCATACGTATTTCGCTCCCGAAAAATCTTTGTTTTATGCGAAACAAGGGATAGTAGTTTTTCGTTTCGGCTGTCTAATAATCACAGACAAGAAATGAACCCTTAAATGAAACAATAATAATGATATGATAGCAATCTTGTAACTTAGGGACAAAATATTTGTTGATAAATTTTCCTCTACATGAGATATTTTCATTCTGAGAAGGCACCGTCTGGTGTGAAATATCCGCCTCTTAAGCCAAATATTTCGTTGCTGTCGAAAGCAGAGCAATTACTCATATTTGAGACTTTCAAATTCGAACCAAATAAATTATTTTTTAGCAATTTTCAACTAGCGATTTTGTTGGCCTAAACAAGACTTGTTTGACGACGTGTTTGTTTTTCTCTCAGTGTACAAAAATGCTTTCCAAGAAAATTTCGCTATCTCCCTTAGATGCCAAGATATTTATCGAAAACTGAGCTCATAATCAAATTGACTTAAACCGTTTGATCACTTCACTACTGAAATATTTAGAAAACAGTATATGATATAATGATTAATATAATTTATTACTGAATTATTAAGCTTTATACCAACTTTACAATTGCGCGGGCAGCGTTCTTAGCGTTAACAACAGCTTTGTAGTAATTCAGAATATTTGAGTATTGACTCCAATCGACAGCAATGACGTTTACATCTTCCTGCACAGAATAACGAGTAATCAAACATGGGCATTGACCCTTTTCGCTTCCGAATGGATGCATTGAATTCGTGAAATCCGAAATTTCCAATTTTTTAGGCCAGGATAACTAATTTTGGCCTCAGGAGTTTGACCGAGTTTGATCATGAGATTGATTGCGTCATCTGTTATTGGAAAAATTTATTTTAAAACCAATATTCAGGGAAAGGCAGACAATTTTAACTTTGACGCAATGTTGGCTACCAACGTTGGGACACTTTTGAATTCAGTGATTCATTGAATTCAATTTAAAATACTTCGCCGTAGAAATTCGCAAGCAAATTGCTTCTTAGCGCCGGTTAGATGAACTGGCTGGACACAAAAATGCCCGAAATTACACGATAATTGCAAGAATATAGTTTCGACAAGAACAGTTCAGTACCGAAGGGGTTAAATTTTCCATTGAATTAAAAAAAAATTCTGATAGAAACTCACTGGAATTTCTCAGAGCAAGCGCTTGATTTTTCTAACAACTTTTTTTTATACTTGTGAAATTTTAAATCATCATAATGAATGATGATTCAAAGGCTTCACCAGACACATGGGTTTGACTCCCAAATTTTAGAATTCCCTTTAACAATATAATTTATCGGAAATAAGACCGTGCAAAAATTATCGGAACGACTAGAGATAAATTTAACTGTCTAACTCAAGGGAATTATATTGCCAATAAAGAGATAGAAAAAATTCGACAATGAGGAAAGGTGTTATCTCATAATTTTTGTTATCATGCCACCGCATAATGTGACCTAAAACCATTCATTTGCTTCTTTGCAGTATTTCGAATGGAGAAAGATTCGATTATGAATTAAATCAATATTGGCGTTAGAGTTCTCGATAAATTGATCATCTGTTTAATGAGAAGAAAGAGGTCAAGTGCAATAGCGTTATCTTGTGGACAAATAATGGAAAATTGTCAGTACAATTGAATAATTGATGAATTCAAATATCTGTTTTCGGAATTGTACCAGAAATTATATTTTAACAGAATTTTTTTCATAAAAAAAATCAACTGATTTTTATTTTTCCAGTAACTTTTATTTTCCAAGTTTTTTGTTTGATTTTATGATGAAAAATAGAAAAATAGAATAAAAAAAACTTGGAAAATTTGAGCCGAGGAAATTCTACAAAATATTTCCTATTGTTCATATCACAGAATCGGCCAAAAACAAGTAGAAAGTTGAATAGAAATGCAATAGAATTGTCTAGCGAAGTCGCTAGGTTTGTCCATTAAATTTTTTCGTGCGCGATTTTTCTGGCAATAAAATGCGCGAAAAAGCTGCTGAACTTTTACAATCTTCTCACACGTGATAATGAACTAGTATGAAAAAATAAAAAATGCTGGAAATAATGAAGAGATGAAAAATAATGTAAACAATTGTGAAACGTACAAACGCAAGATATGCCTCGGCCATCTCCTGTATCCAGCTCTCCGCCCCGTCTGCCAGAAATCCATGAACAATGAAGACAGTTTTCATCTCCGGCTTGAAACTCGAGAGAGCGATTTCGAACTGATCGTCCTCAGCGTACAATCGATAAGGTACCTTTGAATTTCGGGTGTGCACCAGGAACTTCACCCGTTCGTCCACCGCAGGTGCAGGTTTGTTGTTGAAGAGCCAATACAAGATTTTAGCGACAAGACTGCCGATGCCAAAACACTTCACATCGTCCTCCTTTCCCTTGGTCGAGTCCTCCGAAAGGGACTGAATGTCTTGCAGAAGATCTTCGTCATCTTTGACGATCCTGCACTCTGCTATCACCGATAGGGTGAGGAGAACTGAGAGAATTATCAGGAATTTGGGCATTTCGGATTGATATGGAGCTTAATCTGATGGGGATCAGGCGGCAGGCGGGATTTTATGCGAACCATCAACCCCTCCAATCATCGATTATAGAGAGGAAGTAGGGATCGCGTAATCATCCGTTATCTGCAAATATCTCTTATCTAAGATGAGTTTACTTTTTTAACAGGTAATGATGATCCACTAGTGGAGATGAATGAGACAATCAAATTTCACTTATACTTTATGCACATTATACACATTGAGAGAAATTTTGCAAGTTTTTACACTGTTCCTTTCTTAGTTGCTACGTGAAAAATACAAGAAATTTTTCAATCTCGAATTTCATTCGTAAAATCTTCTCGCAAATGTCGCGCTATTTCGACATGATCTCCGGAGTTGACATCTGAAATTGAAACAAAAAGAAATGCAACAATTAATCTCAGACGAAATAGATTCATGAAACCTCTCCACAAGCTCCACAAAATTTAATTGAAACAAAGCGCTTTCAATTACAATACTGATGAGGTTTTTTCTATAATGATTATCTGGAAAATGGAATTTCTAAAATAAATTCAATAGAATGTCTCGAAAAAAGCGCTAGATTTTTTTATAGAATTCTCTCGCCCACGCGAAACAGTTTCTTCTCTTCAAGCATTTTGCATTTACCACAGAAAGGAGTACTACTGGATGTCATGACGAAGAAGGTTCCTCTGAGAGAGGAATTTTCCGCTTTCAAACCCATTTCCACACAAGTGTGTGTCAGAGTGGAGGTTTCATTGATGATCTGTTGAGCGTGCCTGTAGGTGAGATCCCAACTGTGGCCACAGAAGCTGCAGTTTTCCGCAGCTGCTGACAGAATTGACTCGGTAAAGTACGCGTGGGAAAATCCGTGACTGCATATCGCTTGTTCAATAGCTGTAACAGGAGAACATTCAGACGTAAGATCGTGCGTTGTTGAATATTTCTTCATTCATTATTCACCGCTTTTTGGGATCCCGAGGTAGTCGAAGGACGACGCTTCGATTCTAATACAAGCTGGCTGACGTTTTCCGCCGTTTGGATAGAAATCCATGTGACCTGCGTGGATGGAAATACGCATGTATACATACGTCGAAAAAATATATCGATTTTAAAATTTTCCAGAGACATTGACAAATTAATTGTCCCAGTTCTTCCCGCCCACTTTTTTTCGCATTTTTTAAATTTAATTAATTTAATTGTGAAGACTGAATGAAAAGAAAATAGACTCCCCTAAAAAATGAAAAACAATTCCGAATAGAAATTTCTTCATACGCGAATTGCCATATGCACGTAGTACGTACCTATTGGCTGTGGTAATCCAAGTCCAATGCTGGAGAATAACTTGCCGTTTGTATGAATGATATCGACGAGCGGCGCATGACTCTGGTTGAGAGATAAATCGCTGAATTTGAAACAAGGTTGCGCCGGATCGAGCCCTGTAATTCTTTGGATTCTCCATGAGGTCGGGAGCCTCTTAAAATAATTGGCAGTAATACCGCATATGTGAGCGCCCAGACTGTGCCCCACCATGTGAATGGGCCCCCACGATACTTCATCAGGTGCCGATTCACGGGTTTTGTTGACAATATGCGATAGAAACCTATTAGAATAATACTGGAATTTTCAGAGATACTGCCTACCGAATTTTTACTCTAGTATCAATGTCCTGGGCGGAAAATTCCCTGAAGGAATTTTTATAAATAAAAAATCACGCAATATAAGCGCAAAAAACAGAAATGGAAATTTATTCAATGTATCAACATTCGATCAAGTTTTAAAGTAACAAAAATAACTAAAGATCCTCCCCAATAACTCGAATATATATATATTTATACGTCTGTATAAAAGGAACCGACTTGATCGTATTTAGTATCCGAGATATTCATGGTTTTGGTAAATTGACATTGAATTATTTTCTGATCTTCGATACCACCATCATTTCCAACAGAACATGTGTTGATCCTCAATTGAATCATATAAGATCAATCATAGTGATAGGCGCGCGGAGCGCGCCTTCGATCTCGTTAACGGAAAATTGAGAGGATAACGCTTCCTCAGACAATTGTTACATAAAAAGAAATCGGGGGAATTATTTACCGGGGAATTTTCCAGGGAAAAAGTGTTCGAGAACCCCCCAAAGTCAATGATAATTCCCCAGAATAAATGATTGATACCTTGATATTTGATGGCCCACAATTCGTGCATTGACCGCAGCCTTATAGTAATTCCAGGTATTTCCATGAGCACTCCAGTCAACAACGACAACGTTCACATCCCCCTTTATTTCGTAATGCAATAGACATAAAAATATTCACCCTCAGGAGTCACCAACGGATCAAATTCAGAATCATCTTACCCACACGCGAAATGCTTCCTCCATTTCATGGATCCAGTCCTCCTGTCCATGGGACAAAAATCCATGAACAATGATAACAGTTCTCCGTTGGATCAAAAAATCCGTCCATTCCAGTCCGAATTGTTTTCCCACAAGCACTTCCACGCGTTGGGGATGTCTGCTCGAAGACAAAAAGAACCGAACATCCACAGAGTTTGAATTATTCTTCTTGAAAAACCACTCTAAGCCAGTGGCTGCCACATCCCCAATACCGAAACAATCAACTGTCCCACTGAGCCGTGGATTAAGGCTTCTCTCAGGATACCAAATTATATTCGAGCCATTCGGCCACTTATACGCGATAAAATTTCCATTTTTTCCGCCGATGAACTCGTGAGTTAGCGACGAATTGCGAGGAATAATCAGACTCGATGATAGATGACACGAAAAATCGATGAACCACAGGACAAGGGTTGCACCCCTAGAGTAGATCATCCTCGATGGAATTCGTTTCGTCGACTGAGATTGTGTTGACTTTTGAAGAAGTCTCGAAAGGTACTGGACGTAGGAATTTGAGAAAAAAACTGTTGATAAGGCGTGACTCTTAGACCCTAATCGCGGATGTTGTGAAAACATTGCTCTAACACTTCGGAGAGCGATGTCCATGTGAGCTGTGACATTGAATCGATTTGGATTCCTCTTACTCGACTACTACACCAGAAAAATGATTTATTGTGATTCAATCAAGTACAGAAAATGATTTATTGTAGAAAAACCTAGCGAATTCCCTTGAAAATTCCATTGGATTTTCACAAAATTAATTTATTTCCAGTGGCATCGACAACGCGATCATTGGCGACTATTTACAAAAGAACGAAAAGATAAATAAATTGCAATATAATACAGTATAAGTATATAAGAGATAGAAGAAAAGGAAAAGAAAGAAAATTAAAATAAATATACAGATGAAGATATATTCATGAGAATACAATAACTGTTTCAGATCTTATTTATGAGTTTGGTTTCTTCAAGAAATTCCTCGATTTTCGGATAGCAGTTGCCTCCATTTAAACAGTCTTTTAAATTATCTGGTAGTCCCACATAATTCTGCTCAATATTTTTTGAACACTTTCTTGATGATTTTTCCCACGTGCAATTGTTCGGAATGAATAAGGCAGACTAATAATAGAAGAAAAATGGTATTTATTGAATATTCACATTATCAAACTTGAAAAATTTATCTGAACAAATTGTGTACTCTCTCCTTCGTTGGGTATTTCAATTAAATTTTTGGGTTTAATTTTCATATACCGAGTTTTTGCTTCTTCTTCTTTTTTCCTTTCGTGATTTTGTCTTTGAACTGCAAGAGATAACGAATTTATGAGTAAATGAATAAATCAGGTAATTAAATGAGTTGAAGGGATAATCACCTCGAACATTTCATTAGAGATTATCCCCTTGTGAATATTACACAAGTAAATACCTGTTTCTGTTGAAAGACCGTCGTTTTGGCTAAATCGTTTTTACTTCCACCCTGGAAGCTACTGAAATCCACCGCTTTGTAGTCGAAATTCGGATTGGGTAGCATTCCCTTCTGCGTCAATTCTTTCCTGTTCTTAAGCTTCTGAACTTTCGTCTTGTCCCTGGCATCACATGAAAAAGAAATTAACATTAATGCGAAAGTCCATATTTATGGAAGGATGGGGTAAAATGAACACTTTCTCCCTCATTTGTTTAAAATCAAATGTTTAAAATCAAATGATTTTAAACATTCATAACTCCGGGACAGATTTATCAATTGAGGTCAGTTTAGGCACATGACAAAAAAAAATTATTCATCAGTAATTCAGTCATCATCATTAAAAAATATGTCCATATCAAATGTTTCATCAAGCCTTCGTACTCATGTGGTATTTGTTGCATTTTATTGTTTGCAATTTTCTAACAGAAAATTGGAAATAAAAAATTTGAGGAATTTAAAAAAAAACTTTCGCTCTTCCTAATCAATTCTATTCGAGTTGATTTTTTTTGGATTTTGTAATGAGAGTCAGCGAAACTACAGAGGAACAACTATAAAAAACTTATGCCCAAAAATCTTAATAGAAAAATTAAAATCCACTGAATCAAAATAAAATTTCACTCGATGAAGAAATAAAATTTCAAACGAATTCCAGTAGAAATTTAACAAAAAACTATCAAACTTTTTCCCAAGTGGAGGAGTCAATTGTATTGAAAATCTGTAAATATTAAAAATACTTACGCTGACCCCGAATAAACACGCACACTTTTGAGTACCCTTCCCTCTGGCTTCCTCTTATCGTCCATTCGTGAATCCACTTCGTCCTCTTCATTCTGAATCCTCCTGCCCTTAAACGTATCAGCGAGTGTGGAGTCCCTCGCGGGCTTCGGCGTAGATACGTCAAACTTTTTGTTAACACTTTCAACGTCGTCATCGACCTCGGACTCACGTTTCCTCTTCTTACCCCTTGGCATATTACTGAGAGGCTCTCTCTCCTCTTGCTCCCTCCCGCCATCAAAATCTTCCCTGTGGTCTCTCGTGACTTCGAGAAAGTGTTGGCGAACCCTGTCGATACTCTGCTGAGTCTCTTCATTTTGTGCCTTTGGAAATGGATGAAATTAATATTAAAATTGTTATAAATGACGAAAGTTGAGTGAAGTAATTTAATTACGAAATTGAAAACCAATATTGGAGAGTAATTAAACCCTTCGAGTAATTAATTTTGTGTATTTAAATATATATAAAACAGATGTTTTGATTAATGTCCTCAGAAATTTTTCACCAGATTCCCCAAAGCATTAAAACAGATAGAATTCTTACAAGAATTGACTAACGATTTTTCGGACGAAATGAGTTTAAACTGCATGATTGCATTTTATGATGATGCTACATTATCTTATAAATGACTTCTGTTTCCCTCGGCAATTTCTCCATTTCAACGCGTAAACATCTTTCAAATGAAATTAAAAATCACGCGGTTGTAACGACTAAAGCCCTAAAAATCGACAGGAAGGACGGGGTAAAATGTACGCATTAGACTTTTTTAAAATTATTCATAACTCAGAAACAAATTTACTAATTGCGCTCAGTTCAAGCTCATCACAAAGGAAAAGAATAGTTGTTTGTATTGAAAACAAAAATTAAATTACATCAACATTTCACCCCGTCCTGACCATTTTAAAAAAGTCAAAAGTGTCCTTTTAACCCCCCTCCCCTGAGCAACTCATACCTTTTCAGCAGCCGCCCTCTCCTCCCTCTCCCTCTCCTCCCTAGCCAAGTCCCTCGCCTCCTGCGCAGCAACCATCGGCAGCACTCGTTTGTACCTCTCGAAAGGGCTCACAAACAGGGTCTTCGTCCTCCTCAACCTCTCGCCAAGTCCCCCATCCCCCAGCCTCTCCTCATCCTCGAAGATGGTCACCTTGGGGCGAGCCTCCAAATCCGTCTCCCCAAAACTCCTCACCCCATTGGCATCGAGCAAACAAGGAAGATTGGCCTGCACCTCGTTATTACTCATGTCGTGTGGCGACAGCATCCACACGTCCGTCTCCACCTGATGCCTCTGTGCCAGCCTCTGCCTCATGTCCTGCTCCAGCAAAACCGGTTTTATCAGGGGCTGCTCCCTCGCCCTCAGAATTAACTTGTGCAATTTCAGTAGATTCTGCCGCACAAGTGGAGGAATGGGATTGCAGCAGGCGAGAATTCCCTGCATCTCCCTGGGTAGTGTCTCAGCGATGTTCAACAGCATGTGATTCGGCAGGACATAGCCATAGCTGTCGTCCTCTTGCCGAGCTGTCTCGTCCCTCCACGAGTACAGCTCCTTCAGAGCATGAAGCTGACGATTGTTGAACATCTTCTGGCTCTTACGATAAATACTCATGTGGCTGTCCTCCAAACACACCGGCTTTCTGTATATTCTCTTGCAAATCTCGTTGGATCTGTCGTAGACAGCCCTCAGGATGTTGGCCTGGCCGTTGGCAGCTTCTATCAGTGCATTCGTGAGGATATCCTTGATGTACAGGAGGTAGTGGGTGTCCTCTCTGGCGTATTTCATCAGCTCCTCTGGCAGCGGTCGAATCCTCCAGTCAGCCAGCTGAAAGTGCTTATTCGGGTCGATGTTGCAGTGGGTCTTCAGCAGATAAGCCAGGCTCAGGTAGGGGAGGTTCAGGTGCTTGGCGGCTTGGTGGGTGTCGAACATGTTGACGATGTACAGGGAGAGGTCCCTCTGCAGCCACTGAATGTCGCTGTCTGCTCCGTGAAAGACTTTTAAGACTGAGGGCTTCGTGAAGATCTCGTTCAGCGCGTGGAGGTCTGAGCGCAGGGAGAGGGTGTCTATCAGGTAGTCTGTGTCTCTCGTGGATATCTGCATGAGGCAGGTGATTCCCTGGAAGGTCCTGTAGGAGTGGTGCTCAAGGTCCACTGATATTTCCTCGTAATTTCGGAGGTCGTTCAGGAGAATCTTCAGGTCTTGGGGCTTTTCTATCACGATTAAGGGGGTTTCGGACAGGGGGCGGTATTTTATGGGGGTTCTTGGGGTCAATTGGTGGTCCTGGTAGGTGAGTTTGTCCAGCTCCCACTCGTAGGGGTGACTGTAGGCTAGACCCTCTTCGGTGTCGATCAGGTGGATTGACAGGGGTTTTAGGGCGTTTGGTTTGTCTTTTATTCTGGGCTCCCAGGGCTTCGCGCTGTTGTCGATTTTGTCTTTGAAGGATAGCTGGGGTCTGTGGATGTTCTTGGCTGCCAGCAGACGAATTCCCTGGGCACTGCTCAGTGGCTCCTGCGGATTGCTCGAGGTCGATTGGATTACTGAGGTGTTCCATGAGCCGTAGTTTGTCTGCTTTGTTTGGGTTGTTATCAATTGCACGTTAGGCTCTTTTGACACGCCTGCCTCTTTGTCCATGCAGGCTGTCGCGCGGTCCAGGAGGAGGTCGTTGGCTTCTGTTAGAAGCTCGAATTTCTCTTCTTGGTCGCCTCGTTTCATGCTACCCGATGCACCTGTGCATTCTACTATGCATTGCATTGAGGTGAGGAGCTTTTTTATCTCCTCGTGGCGAATGTTTCTGAAGGTGGGGAAGCACGAGTAGTAGGTGAAATTTTCACCCGTTGGGAGACTGTTCGCCGCTTTTATTCCCGCTTTGAGAACTGTGAAGCCTGTCTGGAAGGGGTTTAGCTTTTAGAGAGGTCGGGGGAACAAGTTGGGAGAAAATTGTGGGTATTTTTGACCGGATTTTAGGGGAATTGTTTCGGAAATGATGAGAAAACGATATGGATTCTAAATTTAATTTTTTTTTGAGACTCTGTAAAAATTGTATTGAGATTCTATCAGTAATTCTCTTCATTCTTGCGTCGATTTTGTTATTGTGCAAGTGACGTGCGATTTTTTGACAGAGTATTTCATAGGAAAAGTGAAGGGATTTCGATTCTTTATATGAATTATTCTCGGGAGATTTTTTATGTAGAATTCCTTGGGTAGAAAATTTTCAAGTTCTGTTTCGCAGTATTTTCTTGTTTTTCGATGCAAAATGGAAAGAAAAGATCTTGGAAAGTTCATGAATTTTGCAAGAGTTTTCATTTAAAAAACGCAATTGTATTAGTTGTTAACCAAAATTAACATCTGTTGCACTTTTTCTAGAAAATACAATGTCAAGCTGTGCCATTCTAACAGAACTTCAATTTTCATAGAGTTCTAATAGAAATTCAATAGAATTTTTTAGAGAACGTTCAAGGAATGGCAGCCAAATCTCTTCGAAGAGAAAATTTGTATTTAGTTTTCTCTTTTATAAAATATCTAAAAACCATGAAAATGAATACTCAATAATTATGCAATTATAAAAATAGTGGAATATTTGAAAATTCTAACAAAGTTTCTTTCGATCTCACTGAATTGATAATAAAATGGAAAAATTATTTTTTCTCTGGAAGATACAATTCTTCCCCTTTCGACTGCGCCTAGACTCACTCAACTAATAAATTAATTGATCCCTTTGTTCCTAAATGATGAACATTGAAAGAGAAGTAAAAAATATCCACGTTGCCCCACCCTCTCCTACATTATCAACGAAAAAATTAACAAAAATGCTGCACAGGTGATTTGATTATTATCCTTCTCAAATTATTTCTAGGTGATAATGATAAAAAGACATGGCTATTGTTGCACGTTGCAACCCAGGTGCATAAAAATCCTGGCAGTCTCACCTTGACAAAGTCATCGAAACTGGAAAATCCTGGGAGAATTTCTTCTTTCTCACCCTCTGGCGTTTTTTCCGAATCATTCTCTCGAGCAGAATCATCATCGTCTTCATTAACTTGTTCATTATTCACTTTGTTATTCATGACGACAATTTTCTAGGTTATACTGCGCTCATGCCTTGAGGGAGGCGACACATGGACTGAACCATGTGTGGGCTGGACGGTGTGTGAGTGTGTAATTTGCTCCAAATTTCGTGAAGGGAGCTCTCGACAATGTTTTCACGAAATTCGCCGGTGATTCTACGAAAGTGTAGATTTATGAATGCTGGGAGGACCCGTTGGTTCAGTTCAGCAGCCACGAAAGCAGGTGAATCAATAATTACTGTTAATTGTTGAAGAACAAAAGCTCTGTTTTTCCTAGGTTATGTTCCTTTGTATATGGGCGATTTTAAATGTACGTATCTCGAGATTGGCTGAGTGAAATTAAACAATTTTTTATTCATTTCAAAGATATTTTTTTGAGCTGTAAAATGAGCCTAGATTCATTCAAACCGGATCATTTGGTCAGGAGATATTGACGCTATAATAAAGTGCACCTGACCTCACTCTGCTGTTCTGGTATTTTCCGCCGTGTTTAATTATTTTTCATTCGAGATCGGTAGAGTGAAATCGCAGGATTTTTTATTCATTTTGAAGGCATTTTTCGAGCTTCAAAATGACACTTGGCTCATTGAAATCGTACCATTTATTCACGAGATATTTATGATTTAGAGGGTTCCTTTTACCTATCGTCTCCTATTTATTAGTTTTCCCTCTGGAGAATTATTGAAAATAACGATTTTTGATTAATTGTAGAAGAAGATCCAGCTCCTTTATTCTTCAACGAACAAATCCAGAAGCTCCTGAGAACCCTCACACGTCCAGATCCAAAGAGAGTCTTCAGAACCCGCAAGGATGGCCACAAAATTAAAGACCCAACGTATAAATTCATGACGAATGAAGAGCTCCAGGAGTCTCTGAAAAAAGCCCAGCAGAATCTCGAAGAGAGGCTGCAAATGCCCCCAGTTGTGAAGGAACGAGAGCCTATCACAGACATTTTGTCGAAAGATCCTGCAATTCAGGGGAGCGAGGAGTCTAAATACGTTTTCACTGATATTACTTATGGAGTGAGTGATGTCAATCGTTTGATTGTTGTCAGAGAGCTAGATGGCACGTTAAGGAAAGCTAATTGGGAAGAGAGATTCAGGATGAATCAAATTTACTTCCCAATGGAGGGGAGGGAAATTTTCACACCGAAAATGTTCCAAGATGATCATCTTCAGGTAATTGAGGGAACACAATTGCATTTTTTTTTATGAGTATAGTTATTGGTGCAAATAAATTAGCCATTTTTTTCCAAATGGGTTCTCTTTTTTTAATTCTTATTTCACTATTCTCTTCTATTTTTTCATGTCACAGTACTATCATCAATTGAAGTGTCATCAAAATATTGTGTATTATTTCGTTCTGTCAAATAATTCTAGAGAAGAAGCCACTGAAATATACTTTTCAAGCCCTGATTTAATTGTCATTACTGATGATTCATTCAGTAATCATGAAAAAACCGATTTTCTCTTTCGAATTGCATAAACAATGTGCTCTAATTAAACAATAAATTCTGCGACCCCCATCACATTTTGATAGAATTAAGAGGGTATTGCTATCCATTTCTTGAGTCATGATTAATTCCATTCTGCCAATTTTTTGAGTGATCGTGGAAAAATCGATTTTCGGAAAAATATTATTTTTTTCGAATCTGCATGAAAAATTGAATTTTAAAGGATGCCAATTAATATAGTTTATCAAAGTTTATATTCATGAAAATACTTACATTTGAGCGATTTCAAAACTTCCATTCGAAATCAAAGGCATATTTTCATCTCAAGACAGCCTTGAAGGCACTAAATTCAGCACCAGATTTGATTTTTTTGTAATTCTTAACATGCGATTTTTTTGGGCCAAACAAGACGTGCTTGAGAGCTTATTCATTCCTCTGTCAGTCTTAACTGTTCATTTATTTGTTTATTTATTTATTCATAATGCAGGATGCATCATAAATAAATAATCATTTCTCCTTTCAAGGAAATCCTGAAACGCAAAGACTACGAATTCATCCTGGACCGTGCCTGCATTCAGTTCGAGCCAGATGATACTGAATACCAACGGATCGTCAAACTCGTCTACAACACAGTGGATTCTGAAAATGAATACGATAAACTGCGATCTACTAGACACTATGGGCCTTTTCTATTCCATTTAGTTCTGACGAAAAATATTGACAATCTCCTCTACGAGAATATCACGAGAGAATTCATCGAGGATGCAGCCCTTCTCGTCAAATTATTCCACAGGATCCATCAGACGCCTCAATCTGAAGAAATTTCAGAAACAGAAAACCACATGGATGTCATCCAAAAATACGTCGACTCCGATTCAGCGACGAAAGGAAAATTAACTTCTGCAATAAATGCATACAAAGAGCTTGTGAAAACAAGGCAAATTGTTGCAGAGGGTGTGAAGAAAGCCCATGGGTTAGATTGATTCCATAATATTGATAATATTCAGTGAAATTGTATTATTAAAGAATAAAATCATGATAAAAAATAGATTTGATTTTGTTTTTATTTTGAATAATTCTCTCCAAAGAATGAAGGAATTTTATCCTTAATTTCTGTGGCATCTGGCGGTTCATTCGTTATTCTCTAGAATCAAGAGGGTACTGTTATCAATTTTTTCAGCCATGACTAATTTCATTTTGATGACAATTTTTTGAGTGATCGTAGAAAAATCGATTTTTGGAAAAATATCAATTTTTTCGAATCTGTATGAAAAATTAAATTTTAGTTGGTATGTACTACATACATACACCATCTGAATAAAGCTTCCATTCGGAAGAAAAAAATTGATTTCCTATTAATTAAAAGCATGTCTCTTCACCCAAAAAAATTAAATAATTTTATGCTAAAATAATACGATATTTTGTGCTTTATTCGTTGTTCTCAAAGGTATTCTCTCTCATTCATGGATTTCCACTTCATAAATTAATAGTCGATTATTTTATTATAACTATATATTACTTACAAACATTTACAAATGTAACAATTCAATTCAATTTGGCATACATTACCGTTCAGAATAGAATATTACACTAGTGTCCCAATTTCATATCCATTTATTGTATCTCCAAATGGCAAAACGTGAAAAAAAAATCATTACTCCTTGTTTGTTTATCTACCGTTGTAAGCGCGATACTACGAGTATCCATAATCAATTAATGAATTTGATTATTCATCAGGACAATATTCCCCACAATACTGACATGAAATAATTTCGTCTAACAGAGCCAATAAATCATGCAAGATTTGTACAAATTTTCATGTACTTTATTTCATTAAATACGTTTCAAATACTTCATTAACGGTAATGACTTCTGCGTTGAATCAAAGAGTATTTACGTTTATCATTATTTTTCACCTCCTAGTGATTATAATTTGTGCATTGCAACGGAAGGGATGATTAAAACATTTAAAATTATTAGGCCTCTCGACATAACGAAATTGTGCGATAACAAATGTCAATCTATTTTTCCCTACACCCTATTGATCCTCAAAGTGTACAAAAACCGATTTATGAAAATCTAATTAGTCAAGAGATATCACTAATTACTTGATGAAATATCTGATTATTTTTGTATAAATTATAATTGTCACTCCATGAATTACGTGCCCTTAGTCTCTTTACTTGAATATCTACACTTAATTGTCATGGCATAGATGCTATTTCTGAAAAAAACAAATCGAAGAGATCGGGATAATTTTTCATAGTCACTATGATAAGTATTGATTAATACTGGATGTGAAGGCTGAATTTATTCACTTCATTTATTCAACATTATTCTTGAGCAATTTCTTCGATTCTACTGAAGAATTCATCAGACCCACATTTAGAATGATCGCCATTTATGATTTTATTTGTTAAATGATTGAACATTTATACAAAATCGATGAGTTCGAGAGATATGCAAGTGATTGGTAAATTAACGATTGATTGTATTATTGCTTAATTGTTCCCGTGGCAGAAAAAAAATTTCAATTTGTCGGCTCTGGAAAGCAAATGTCTAGCTGAAGTGGTGGAATTATTACTCTAGAGTTGGCACATTTATCTGATTTTCCTTTCATTACTCTCTCTCTCTCTCTCTCCCTCTCTCTCTCGTTGTCTGATGGGATTATTCTATCGAGTGAAGTGTCTTCAATAGTGGCGCATTGAAATCTATTTCTCGCGTTAAATCTATATTTTCTTTTGAAAAAATTCACTAATTCATTGTGGCATCCTGTTGCGATTGCAATACATACTCGTTTTATTCCTTGACTTCCTTCATTATTATACGTGCATATTATATTATTTATGTCTATATATGTAGATAGTTGTGTGGATACTCATTACATTCACGTCGATGTGACTGGCTTTCGTATCGAAATGCTTGAGTGATCGGTGATAATTGGGAATTGATGGATGAGAGGAGAATGCTATTCATACTCTCTTCGTAACAATGTTTTTCGTCATTCCTTTCGCTACTGAAAATGATTTTAGGGGGGGATAGTGGCAATGCAGTTAACACATCACTTCAATTAATTATTCATTATTTTTTCTCTCCTCGGAAGCTGGTGAGACTTGAGCGTGAGAAGACCCACGAAAACATTCATATTAGTTGATACAGTTTATTGAATTTCATCAGACTTTATCACTCGCAGTAATTCGTATAACTCACACTTATTGATTTTATCTGCAATTATCGGTCTATGGGTTTTTAATATGAATTGGTAATTTAATATTGTTTTTCGCGTGTCACTAAACACTCCATTCATACTTTATAGATGATTTAAATTTCACATTTTTCTTGTCGCATTACAACTACTAATTACGAGGAATATCAGACTAAGTCCATGCGTCGATGCGTGAATAACGATTGTTAAATCGTAATGGCAAATACGCATTACACATATAATTGGTGGTGAAATTTACCAGTGGGTTCTCTTTGTCACGCGGGCTTTTTCGACAGTGATTCACTGCTGGACCCCATTGTGACATATATCTAACAATTTAACAGCCAAAACCGAGCAATCATTAAGTATTTCTTATCTGATTAAATTCGTTATTTAACGTTAGAGATAATTGATGGATGAGTTTTCTTCTTTTCGTCTAGAGTTTGTTTCTCTCGTGATTTTTCATTTTGGATTCTTGTAGTATGCACGAATCGATAGTAATTTATGGAGTTATAACGGGGGCTTTTTAATGAAGGTTCGAGTATTTTCAGTCGAAGCTCATTTTTATTTTCGTCGGAGTAGCTGATGCGCTACCGCAGGAGTTGGTGGAGGTTTTTGGGGTGATAATCATTTATTGAAAAATCTAGGTTTTCGCGAGGAATTCCAGTGGAATTTAATAGAACTTCTGTTGAAAATTCTAGTAGTTTCACGGATGAAGAATTCAATTCTATTGGGTAGACAAGTGGATTTCTATCAGTTTTTAGTCGATTCTGGGGAAATTTTTAATAGAAAAATTCAATAGAATTCGATTTTTTCACGCAATTTATTCTATTGATATTTTCTGTAGAATTTCGTCGGCTCAAATTTTCCAAGTTTTTTTGTTTCGTTTTCTTGATGAAGAGAAAGGAAAAATGGAATCCAAAAAACCTGCAAATTTGAGGATTTCAAAAGCTAATAGAAAGTTTAATAGAAATCCAATACAATTGTCTAGGTTTCGCTAGGTTTTTCTATTAATTTTTTTCGTGCATGTTTTCGCCCATTGGATTGAAAAATTCCGCAGCTTTTTGGATTTTTTAAATGATAAATGCTCAGTAGAAAGTGTCTTATGAAAGAATTAATAAATTCGATTTTCATATGGAATTTTTTCCTCTCTGTTCCATGGAATTTAGTCACTTGTATTACAAACGAACTCCCTTTGATTGTAATAGCTATTGTAGATACTTTGCTTGCCATGCGCCTGCAAATATAATTCTCAACATGTTCTTGTAGCGCATGGCCTGGCCTCACCCATCTTCCTACTCTGTTGAAAAAATTTCACTGAATTTTCCGGAAAAAGACATTGAATTCGATTTAAGGATATCCATGTATTCAATTGAATAATTTTCAATCATCAAAATTGTCAATTAAATTGTGTGAGAAAAATGTGAAAAAAATCAGGAATATCAGCATCATCTAAATAAGATTTTGCACAGAATAATTATTTTTTTAAACATTCGTTGTTTAAAGTTTAGATAATAAAATCATTGCAAAATGGGGCTCAAATGAAAGCTCTGATGTCCGACTACAAAAGTAGAAAAGCATTTGAGAGAAAAAATAGCCAAAGTCCTTGGATATCCTTAAAGAAAAAAAGTCAATGGAATTTCAAGTTTCTTCCATAAGGGAATTCCTTTATATATTCTCGGCATTCCAGAAATTTTCAGGGAATTTCCCGATTTTCCCGGAATAATTACCGTAAAATTTGCAGTTCCCACGCATTTTTGCATGAAATTATGAACTATCAATGACAACATTCCTTGAAATTTCACTGGAAATGTGACTTATCCAAAAATTTCACAACTCTTACCGGAAAATTCAGCGAAAAATTTTCAACGCCTTCGAATTTCCTATTAAACTGAATCCCCTCAAATTCCCAAAAAACATTCTCAGTTCTCAATAATATCATAAAGCAACAAATTTTCACTTCTACCTGGAAGATCGCAACATGATAATTCGCTACCACAATTACTGAGTGAGAAAAAATCCACCCAATTACCATTACGATTAATAATATGAAACTTCATAACGATTTAAAGACTTCCCTCACTTCGCCCAATCTTCTCCGCATATTCCCTACCAAAAAGGGCATGAGGCCATCCTCATGAGGAAATAAAATGCACTCCCGACATTGAAACGAAATGATCATTAAAATGTTTAAGCTGACAGGACCAATACGTCTCGATTATCGGTCACAGAATATCAGTTTCGTAAATCTTACTTGTTGTAGTTTGATTGCCAACAGCCGTAGTCTGTCCCTGATTATCATTAACCGTCGTTTCCTTGTCATTCTTGGGAGTTGTGAGGCTCGTTAGAGACCCCGAATTGGCAGCGCTCATGCTCAGACCCATTTTAGCGAGAAGATTGCTCTCAGAGCCAGTTTTCTTGAGCAGATCAGGAGGAGTTGGTGGTACAGTGGCGAGTCCCGAGGTGTTTCTCTGGAGCTGCTGAAGCCTTGCGTACTGCTCCTGAAGAGCCTTCTGCTTCCTGAGTAGCTCCTGATGACGTTGCTCCAGCTGTTCCTGCCTCCCTTTCTTGTTCTGCATGCCCTCCTGAGAGTTGATGCTCTCGCAGGAGCTGGAGTTCGAGGTGGAGAGTATGTTGTTCTGAGTTTGATTCTGTCCGGAATCATCGGGACCGCCTGGAGCCGCTCCAGGAGGCAGCGCCATCGGCGGCTTTCCGCTGTCCTTGGCGTTGGGCCGACCTCTTCTCAATGTTCCTGTTGGATTTCTCGGCGGCAATTGCGGACTCGTTGGACTGGCGAGCGGCGATCTAGAGCTTGTTCTAGGAGGCGGTGGCGGAGGCACTCGCCTAGCCGTCGCCAGTTGCAGTAGCTCGGCATTTCGCTCCGGTACCGGAGGCTTCTGCGGCGCCGCTGCTGTCCCGTCCGACACCTGTAGTCTTGCTATCGGTGGCGATGTGTCTGTATCAGAACTCGATGGGTACGAGTGCAATCTACGGAGTGTTGTACTTGTCGGAATAATCGCCAAACTTGCTGACGAGTCTACACTTCCCTTTCGTCCGATCTCTGATATATTTGGGGGACGAATGCTCGATTGAACTATCTGCGACGAGGATCTACCGATTTCAAGGAGATTTGGAATATGATTTGTCGTGTTACTTGTGGTGGACACTTGGGATAGTTGGGATGATGGCCGAGAGAAGGTTTGGAGCTCGTCTAGCAGAGCGTCGAGTGCGTTCTCCGGACGCTGCTGATGGGGGGCGGATGATTCACCAGGGTGGGACCCTCCCCCGATGACGCCCGCTGACCCCAGGACAGTGCGTTCCGCTGGCACAGGGGCAGTTGTCTGTCAATTAAGGTTTATGTCAATATTCGTGAGGGCTCAGGGGTGAGGGCTGCCTATGCTCTTTAGTTCATTCATTTTAAGGTGCAGGGGACTTCGGCTTCCGGGCGGAACATCTTGGAGCCTTCGAAATTGTTGATTTACTGTTTTGGGGGGTTTGTTTTTTAATTGATTGGCGGAGGGAGGGGACGGCTCAAGATATTCAGCCAGAGGGATTAGTTATTGGGGGGTCGAAATACGTACATGAAACCTAGTGTCGTGGGTGAAAATATTGAAGAGGTTCTGGCGCTTTCGATAGGAAATTCTACTTTTTTTTTATTTTTTAGATATATCAACGGAGGAGATTGTATCGATTTTTTTCTCTCAAATGCAGTCTGAAAATGTGGGATAGTCCACGCATTGGATGCGCTTTTTATAATGTTCATAAAGAATATTCAACAGAAAAAATTGTGTATTCTCTGATTTCTCTGTTTAATCTATTCTGTTCACATTTTTTTCTACAGAAATTTCAGGGACAAAATCCTTCAAGTTTTTTTTTTCTTGAAGTTTTTTATACGAGACGTGGGAAAACTAGTAAATTTTTAATAGAGGTTAGTAACAAACTAACAGAGTTTTCAATAGATTTCTAAGAAAATTTCTATCGGAATTCTTCATTTTCTTGTTTTCTAATATTCATAAAAAATATTCACAAAAAAAATAATCGCAAATATTTTTCTATTTTTCTATCCAATTCTTACTGGTAGTTTCTTCTACAGAAATCTCGATGCGAGACGTAGCATAAAAACAGTATATAAAAATTTCCCTTGTCAACTAAAAAAATTATAAATCAAAACTCTATAAAATCCGCGTCAAAAAGTTATTGAACTCGTACTAAAATCGCCAGAATCCCAATAGAATTTTCAACAGAATAGATTTCCAATAAAATTTTCTACCAAAAGCGCTAGTATCACCTATCAAATTTAATTACTTCGAAAATTTCTGACTTCTATTTCCCTCCAGACTTCATGTACAATTTTCTCTACCAACTCTGAGTATCTATTCATGCCAAGAAGTGCATAAAACATGCATGACATTTGAAATACTGAATAAATTAACAATACCAATAATAACAATCCATCATATTGATTGATAAACTTGTCAATTAAAACAATGTCGAACAGTCATGTCAATATGATGGAGAAAAACGATTAAATAACAACAAAATAAAATTTGTTAGATAGTTACCTGGTCGTTATGCAAATATACAGTATTTTTTATGCTGTGCGTGTTACAAGTCAGTACTCGTGTGAGGCTCTTTTACATTTGGCACCGATTGCTGTCCAGTATTAGTCAACATAAAAGCAAAGAAAGAAAAAAAAACAAAAATAAAAACTCAAAATTACAGGAATGTCGGCTGTTTTTGTATTAGGCTGTTTTTTATTTCCGTCGGTCACCAGTCAATCCAGTGTATTTACACATCCGAGAGAATAACGGATGAAAGAACGGCACGAAAAATATTACCTTATTTTCAGATTTCAAAGGTCTTAACCCTAGATTGGTCACTCAATAAGGGAAACCCCGTCGCGCGTCGTTTTTCATTAATTACAATTGACTGACTCACCGAAAAAATTGAAAAAAAATTCACTTGGTCAATTGAAGGGTCAAAAAAATTGTAGTAATTTTTAGAACAACATATTCCCGAAAATTCCTAAAGAAAAATTATTTCTGACAGATTTCTGAATTATTTTTTCTCATGTTAAATGAAATTGCCCATGACGCGACGTTGCCGGAACCTCGCTAAACGCGCCCGGGTAGTGTAGAGTGAATTCGGCAAAGCTAAGCCTAAATAACACGGCGGGGAATCCCCGCGGAGGTGACCAATCACGAGGGCGCGTTTGGTGACCGGACTAGGGTTAAACATCATTCTTCTGTACGAGTGCGTAAAAATGTTTTTTGACCTTGGGAGGTTCGTAGCGCTCGCCCAAGGGGAGTGCTACCTTCCCAAGTGTCAAAGACCACTTTTCCCACAACTATCGCACCCTATATTTCATCACCGCGTGTGGAAAGTAGGATTTTTCGTAAAATTTCGCTTTACGCACAAGTGATGAAATGTTATCAATGAATTCTGAGTTACTTTTTTCTCTTTTGCACTTGATATTGCTTCAGAAGAGGATGAAATTTGAGCGAAACCTCCGGAAAATTTGTTGCTGGTTATTTTGTACGTCGGGAATAATGGATGTAGGAAGGATTGTCGGTGGGAAAATTGTCAACGCTCTGAAATGTCTCAAGTTAAGTCTTTCGGAACTCAACTTGAATTTTTTCTCAAACAACAATTCTGAAAACCCCAACCTTTGACAGTCTCAATTTGAACCATTTGAAAATCTCAATTTCAGATCACAAGCCTCAAAATATACAAACCAACAGGATGAAATAAAGTCAACTGAACACACTAGTGCTTTCTATTCATTCCTTATCCATCGCAGCAAATGAATATTCCGGTACTCGTGCATCATGCTGTCCCACCCATGCGTAAAAATCGTAGTCACAAAAATAGGATTGTGAATGATATAAACAAAAGTGAACGAAAAAAAAGCCAACAAAAAAAATACACAGACAAAACCTTCAGTCCAATCCTTATAGTAAGGCAGTAGTAACGGGATTATAGAGAAAACAGGAGTATAGTATTGGCAAGAAGAGTGTTTCATGTGTTGAAGACTCAACAAATCTGAATGAAACACAATGAAATAAACAAACGTAAAAGTACAATTCAATGAATAAATAAAGGAGAGATGATAATTACTGGTGTGAAGAAGTTACCAATGTTACATACTAAATTAGACACATCAGGATTAAAAAACCAATAATTCATAATAAGCTAAAATATAATAAATAATACGAATTTAAAACGCAATGAAAAATATGAGGATCAATTACTTCAGTAATAAATCGATTATTTGTTTACACTATCACTCTACAGTTTTATAATTCATGTTGTTTATTGTAAAGAGGGTGTAGCAAAAAGAAATGTCACCGTTTTCACCGATGAATTTTGCTTCTCAATTATTCTCTTTTCCCGCCAAACGACAATACTTCTTTCAGTCACCCACCTATTTTGTTGTTCATTTCAGATGCAACGAGCAATGCCAATTTTATTAGTCTTTAATAATTCCAGATTACAATAGATGCGAAACGGATAAGAAGAGAAGGAGGAGTACATAGTTTCGTTTTTGTTTTTTTTTTTGACAGACATCAACGCATTGACAAATTACAATTGTTATTAGAAATGTTTTTATCATTGATTATCTAAATTTATCAGCTTTTCAGTTCTTCTGATTTATTTTATCTTCAGGAAATCCAATGTAAACCTTGAACATCGGGACACCTTACTATAGGATTGGAGGGTATGTCTTGTGAGAAAAATATTCTCGCGCAGTTGATAAATCACGCGAAAAAAATTAATACAATATCTCAGCGATTTGGTGAATCTAATCGTCATTTGAAAGTTTGAAGAATGGTTGAAAAAGTTTGCAGTTGCCGAGAAGAAACGTGAGAGAAATGAAGATAGCGATTGCAAAGTTTGAGGAAAGATAATCGAGCGCTCGATCTGTGATATGCTCTCTTGCATAATAATGAAAAATAATACTAATATAAATAATGGTAATAAAGACTTCTCAGTGTACTGGAGATGAAAAAAAAAACAGTTAGAATGCAAACTCTCTGCATTCACGTATCTCCCAATGACAAACACCTAACAAACTGTGACAATTTATTGTTCATATTTGAAAAATGATTTTATGTACACAAGAAGGATAATTTTCAACAGCAGTGCGTGATATATAACTCGCAATGAAAAATAACCGAATAATAAAATATTTTTAATAAATATAAAGTTGAAAAGAAATGTACTTTAACAAGCACGAATTAAATTGAAATGATGTTTAAACGACTGTAACACGTGTAATCGAAAAAAATATTTATCGATGGTGAAATTATTTCAAATCGTTCTGCTTCAAGCTGTTAATTATGCCATAGAGCAATTTATTACTAATGATTCTTGGTATCAAAGCAGAATAATTTGAGGCGTCTGAATGAAGGATGATTTCGCACATGACTCAATGAATGAATATATTGAACGACGATAAAATATATAAATATAGATATAAAACAGTATAGAATAATAGTTATAATGAATTAATATGAGAAAAAAATTACTCGTGACTGGTCTGTATGGCCTCCTTGAAGTTAGTACTCCACTTCCAGCCATACTATAAAAATTTAATATCATGTTCAATTTTATTTGACGCACATGTGTTTTGTTCCTATTTATTTATTCAATAAAACTGCACCGACTGAGTGATGTTCATTGTCAATTGTGGGAATTTCCATTAATTTAATGTGTTGAATTTTCTCTCATTGATTGATTATCATCAGGGGAAGTGTCAGTAGCAACAATGATTAATATTTATTTTTCAGTTCAACCAATGTTGCTAGGGTTTATATCGAAACACAGATTTTCCTTGTGAATGGATTTACAACTAAACACATAATGATTTGACAAAACATTTGGAGCTGTTTGGCACACTAAAAATAAGGGAAACAATCAGATGACACGAATGGATTTAAATCATAATGTTTTGTCACATCGCCGGCTAAATGTTTAATTCTATTCTATCGGGTAACAGCAAACATTTAATCAGTATTCCTGGGAGAGCGCTTAACTGGGGTTTATCTATGATAAATAAAATAACAGATGTTGCAGGAGTTGAGAATCGACATTTATACGATAACTAATGGGGTCTGATTGCCCTTTCAATGTCCATTCTGGGGATAATCATGATAAAATGACAATGCAAAGGGTGTGGATGTGGAACTTATTCATTTTATTTGTTCTTAAGCGAAGGGTGATGGGAAAAATCTATTTATTAGTGCCTTTTTCTTCCTCTATCGGGGCAATTGTGCAATTGGTACGAAGTATTGGTTTCTTGTTCACGTGATGACTGTAGACGTCATCCTAGGGAGGTTTCCAGATTAATAAAATGCGAGCAAAGCATCAACTAATGAGTAATTATTCTACCAAGAAAAATATATGTGATATTCTAAAATATTATTCAAGTTCCTAGGAATTTCTTCGTATTGTCAACCAGCACTGAACAATTTAAAAAAAAACACGATGTTGATTGTATTTTTTCTTTCAGTTCTGCTGTTAAACAGAAATTTCAAATAATTACAAGTTATCCATCTAGGAAGGTTTACATTAGATTTCATTATTCACATTGAATTTACATAAATATATAGTTTTCAACTCAAATTGTGCTAACAAATATTAAACAGTCTGTAGGCATTATAGCAAAACTATTTAATCTGTTATTGTCTAAACTCACTTTGGTCCGAATAGCATTAAATTTGTGGAAAAAAATCTCGATTCTTCAGTTTATTAGTCATTTCAGTAATAGTAGCCATAACTTTGAGTTAAACATTTCTTTCAATGGAATTAAAACGAAACTGTCATCGAAAATTATAACCGATAATTCTGTCTTGCTACAGATTTTCTTCCAAATGTTCTATTCTTCATGTTAAAAAAATAATGAGCAAGACAAAATTTCCGCCATCTTCTCCGCTTGGAATTTTTTGTAATGAAGAATGCGTGAAAACGTTGCATTTTGTTGTAATACTGGGGATTGTGCGGATAACAATGTCATCGGATCTGGTAGAATGACGATAACTCGATCAACTTCATATCATATTCTTCAAACGTATGATTTTCATAAGCAGTTTAAAGTCAGAAGCATTTCACCAAATCCGAATGTTAGGCGTAATGGAATGTAAAAGGGTAACCGCACATGCTGATTTTGTAATCATCTTCGATAATGAAGCACATGATGGTTAGAGATTTCTTAATATAAAATGATTTATACATAAATATAATATATGTAAAAATACTTTGATGTGATATAATTGCACACATAGATGTCCATTTTTCTGACGCATATATATGCAAATATACCGGAGAAATGGTATAATTTTTACACGCCTCTATGACACTCGTTTGCATGCGCCGGATGTTTTACTATAAACCTTTACTAAGATAAAAGGGAGTAAAATGGTTTACAGTAAAATTCACAAATTTCATTCACTTTTGTCGTTAAATTTGTGAAGTTGACTGAGCTCAGGAACTTTCTTCCTCTGCTCGAACAACGTAAATTCAATGATTAATGAAATTATCCTGATGAGATTCCCGATGATGAATGTATTAAAAAGACGAACATAATAATAAAGCGGCATTTTCATGGCAACAGAAATTATTAATGTAAATAATACATGTTGATTCATCAGTGCTGACGTTTGCACCCTGTGTTGAATTTTAATGGTAGAAATTATAACCAGATATGACAATGACTATTCTATGTGTTTCAAGCATTTTGTTGAAGGTTGAATTCCGTTTCGTGCAATTGAAAGAAATTTCAGCTCTTGGGAATTCGGGAGAGTGAGGGATTTTATTTGTAATTAACAATTTAACTATTTCGGGCCTGCTGTTACCTTTGAGTGTTGGGCTGATGTTGGGGTTATTGGTGGTGTTTCTTCGGAGTCTAGGCTCACTGCGTTTGGTAATCGTTGCTCTTGCACCGAGGCCAAGCTTAAATTATCGAGAGAAATTTTATTTTTGGTTTGAACTTGATTAGTTATTTTCTTATGAAATAAATAGCTTTTAGAATGTAATAATGTTTTTTCATTCTAATGTTTAGAAATCAAATTGTTTGAAAAGCGAAGAGAACGAATTCATCAACTCGTAATAGTCTCGTATTTGGAATTAATGAATAATCTATTGTATGTAATTGAATCATTTTCGCTGAAATAAAAAAGTGAATTCATTTATTTCTCGTAGAAATATAATGGAAATTGATGGAAAATTTCGGAATAAAAAGTTGTAATCCATCTAAATCAGTTATCGCTCTTGGTGTGGGATTATTGGAGTTCAAATTATAGACTCCAATGTTTTAACTTGATGTTGATTTCCACAAGTTCTCTTATTCATATAAAATGAATATTTCTTTTTAGCTATAAGCAAATGTTATTTGATCCAAATAAAGAGTTGATTAATCATAAATGAAATAATTGTTTAAAAAGTGAAGAAAACGAATTCATCAACACGTAATGGTCTCGTATTTGGAATTAATGAATAATCTATTTCATACAATTAAAACATTTTCATTGAAATAACAAGATGAATTTATTCATCTCTAGTAAAAATATTATCGAAATTAGCATAAAAATTGTAAATAAAAATTTTCAATTCTTCCAAATTAGATATTCGCTGGGTGTGGAGTCATTGCTGTTGAAATAATGGCAATGACTCCTAATCATTTTATTGATTCATAATATTTTTCTCACCGTTTGAGCGTGACGAGGGTACCAGTAAGTTTTTTGCATCGCTTAAGAGCAGACTCAAGTCGTTCTGGTTCTTCCTTGAGGAATTTCTCCTCCCGCACTACTTTCTCCATTTCGGAACTCAGGAGGCCTTTCATACCCTCCTGGAGGCTTGGAAAACGCACCTTGAGATCTGCTACCGTTTTACTGTAACAGTGAATTTATCAACATTAGGATGAACAATGAATTTTCTTGTTTTTATAATTCTTCGCGCGTTACTACCTGGATTTACTCAGAATTAACGCCATGTTTTCAACGTCTGACATGTTGACACGTGTCTTCCGGTTTATTACATTTCCCCGTAGTTCCTCCACCGTACTCTCTAGCTCGCTGTTGATTAAACGAAATTCGTAGAATATTTCGTATTTCAATTTCATTTTTTGTGAAGCATTGATTACTCACGTGAGATCTTTTTCCAGCCTTATCATTTCTTGTTTGTAGAGGTCCTCTTCGCGGCTCAATCTTACTTTTTCCGAGTCCCCAGCAGCCCATGCCCCATCACCTCCCGATAATAACATTGCTCTGCAAATAATAACCAATACATCAATGAAGAGAATTTCAAAATTGCAGTTTTATTCAATTACGCTGAGAGGAAAGAGCGACTTAATGTAACAAAAATGGTTTATTTGAATCAATAATATACTTTTTTGAACATAAACAATTCATTAATTATGAATTTCATATAATCAAAACATTTTTATAGAAATAAATACATATGTTTATTGATTCCCCACAAATATATTGTCAAAATGAATGAAAAAGTTTCAAAACAACATTTTTCTTGGAGTCGAACGCGTCATTTCTCTGGACGTTGATCACTTCAGATTGAGATAAAAAGTGAAGAAGAATGATATGAAACAATATAATATAGACTAAAAATGTATAATAAATAAGAATCCGCCATCTCCTCAATAACTCAACAAGTTTCATGAAAATGGATTGTTCGAGTGCATAACTCTCAGCAAACGACAACTCCAAACTCACCGAATTGTGATGAAAGTGTCCCTAATAGTTTCTCTAACAGTGTGGGCTTGCGCCTGCGACATTCGCCTGAGATTGCGAACTTCCTGGCGGAGGTCCTTAGCCTTCTTCTGCAGACCTCTCAGTTGATTATACATTTCAGGAGTGAGGGCCAAATCTCGATAAACGTAGCCGCCAGCGGCAAGGGCTACAGGTTTAGGGGGTAGATTAGGTTTATGACGATCACGTTCTGAAATTGAAATCCAAATAAAATTTTTTCCTGAAATCATCACGTCTCGTTGATGGAGATTCGTTAAAGTGTTGTCCACCGAGTGGAATCATTTGGTTTGCGAAAGCAGTTGAGAGTGATTACCTTGCGAAGACATCCTTGGCAAAGTGGATGACTTGATTGCTGGTTTCGTCGGCTTTGTATCCGCTAGGGCGTAAGCATTTTCAGAAGTTCAGGATTGTTAGATTAAAAATGTAAGCATGAAGTCTTATCTGTTAGTAATGGGCATCTATGATTAGTGTACCACGTGAAGGAAATGTTAATAACCGTTGAATGGGCCATGATACATCATAGTGCATACAAAATTATTAATGAAAATGTTGTTTACCTGCATGTTGAGGTGAGTGTTGTTTTGGTGAGTTCATGTCTGGTGGCTCGTCGCTGAACGAAACCGATTTTTCGAACGACACCGACTTGTCTGCAATACATCAATAACAATCCTCAAATATTCTCGAACATTTCCATCGGGTAATCGACAAATAACGAACACTCAACGAAAAATGTTAATGAATTTACTGTGCTTAAATCATTAACGCATCCATCACTTCAAGTGAACAAAACATTGATGTCAGCTGAGTGACATAAGCCTTTACGAGAAATGCATGCAAAAATCGGTGCTGAAAGTGAAAAAAAAACTGATGAAAAGAAGAATCAGAATGTTTGATATCCGCACCTTTGCCTAATTTCGGTGGCTTAACGTCAGTCCTTAGGTAGGAGTCATCTGTAACGGCAGGTGGAGAAGAAAAATCTTTATGATGATGTGAATAAGTGACAGTTGATAAGCAATTTGGAATAATGTATGGTGAAAAATGCGCAATTATCAGCGGAAATTAATTTAAATGAATTTGTAGAAAATTATTAATTATAAGAAACATTAATTTAGAAAGAATATAGAAAGTTAGAGATGGGAGACACACCTGGCAGTGAGGCAGAGCTGGAGCTAGAGTGTTTGTCGAACTCATCCCCGGCGCCTGGTGTGCGTTAGTCGAAATAACGAAGCAGTTGTACAGCAGGGTTCCAGGATTTTATTTGACAGAAGTTAAGCAACTCATTTAAACAGCTTAGAAATTTTACGGAAAAATTAACAAAAAAGGCAAGTAGATCTCCAATAGAGATCTTCTTCTATATTCATTCCTGGGAATGTGTAAATATACGTATGAGAATATTTGATGGAAAAAGGTGAGGTTTTCTGCAAGAAATTCTGTCGAATTCCGAAGGGAATTCTATTAAAAATTATACAATTTTTATTTTGATTGAAAAAAGGGGATAAATTATTTTTATATGTGAAGTTTCCTTTTGGTATATTTTTTATTCTAATTTTGGGCACAAGTGATCTGTTGGATTACTGTTAGAAATTGAAATTTCCAATTTCACTGAAAATTCTTGAAACTATTTCCTCGACTTTTCTACTTCTATCAATTTCCATAGAAAATTGAACTGAAATTTACAGTTTCCCCCGATTTTTTCCATCGAATTATGAATTTTTAATGGCAAAATTCTTTGAAACTTCAGTGAAACCGTCACTTGATAAAAATTTCTATTGAAAACCGACAAATCGATTTTTTAACTGAACGTTAATTTCTAAAAAAAAAATACCAGGTTTTTCAATCAATTTTTTTCATACAAAACGAAATCTTCAATTCGAACTCCTGACCCCGACAAAAAGCTGTACAAATGTTGCTTAACCCCCGCCCAACTATCACAGAAATTCATGTTTTCTATGCGAAATTAGCGTACTTGCGTGGTTTTCGTGAGTACATATCTAACATAAATCAACAAATGAAATGAATTAAAATGAAAGAAATGAAAAATTCAAATCTAATTCCTCACTGTATTATGGCAGTTGCGTGCACTACGATGATGCGTCCCCGCCTCATTAGTAAAATATTATTATACGTTTTTATATCCAATATTCATTATTAATTGTTAGTAACTTGTATGAAAGTCAGATTAAGCTTCACGCTAGTTCTGCTTCTGTCAATGAACAGTATCTATATCGATTTTGATCTTGCAGTGAACAGTATCTCTCTAATAATCGCATTGTGAAGATAAATAATTTTTTTTTAAGGTATACCTGCACTTCTCGCGTAGGGATCACGTCCAGCTGGGACTTGGAGGTAGTCCCTGGGTGATGGACTGGTGTGTGGCGCGTGGGTTAGGGCCTTTTGCACGAGACCAGTTAAATTAGCAAGCTGTCTTTCCATGTGTTCCACCCTTATCCTATTGTGAACAATTTTTTTATTATTTTTTTTTGTTATTGCTCGTTGTACTCCAGCTATTTACGATTAATATTTTAACTGCTGATCGCGTAGCGGAAGGTGAGGTAAAAGGAACCTTCTCAAAGCATCAACATCTCCTGATCGAATTATACACTGAGAGAAAAATCGACGTATGACAAAAATGATTTCTTGAGTGGAGAACATCGCCATATTCGATCAATTCATGGTAGATTTCACACAAGAAATCGGAGCTCTTCGGGCACAAGGTGAATGATACTGAATGAAAAAATCATATTCTTTTCTGGTAATTAAATAAGATTTCTGGAGAGACAAAGTAAGTTTGAGAGAAGGGAAATAAGTTATTGCTTTAAAGGTTCTCCCGATTGAAAGTCTCCGATCAATGATTCACTGAATCGAAGTTTTAAGTATTTTTTGCTAATTTTCTGATCTTGGGACACGAAATAAGCGATTTCTTGAGGCAAGAAATTCTCACTTATCGCCGAGTGTTCGTGTTCAAGTCGTGAACATTTGACTGGACTCTTTTACGATCTGATTCATTATGCGGAATTACTATCGCAAGATTTTGTCCGTAAGAGATACGATATTTGACGCAAGAAATTAGTTTTGTGATATTGTCGATATTTCTCTCAGTGTACCACCTGAATCAGTCAGATGTCATTTTAAAGTACGAAAAGGTTGAATTCACTCTGTCGATCTCTAATTATTGATGATTGAAAAGCGTTCATTTCAGCCGGCACGGAGAGAAAAGTTGAGGAAAAATTGTGGAGTGAAATTTAATTCAATTAAAAATACTACAAGTGGAGGATCTCACGATTTATTTAGGAAAAAATATGTAGAAGAACAAAATTACGGTGTCTTGCACACAGAAAAGTGATTTATTTGAATTAAATAAAGTTTATTTGGATGAAATAAATCAGTTTATTGAAATAGTACTACGAAATCAAGTTTTTATTTAAATTAAAAGAATTTCTTTATTTGAGTTTTTGTTCGTATTAAAGTAATTTTTAAAAATTATTAGTGAGTCGCTAGTTGATTCAAATAAATTGTCTCATAAAAGCAAATAAACATTTTTCTTATGTTAAGAAAATTTCGTCATTTGAATTGAATGATTTTTTTTTTAACTTAATAACAATTAATTTAGTTCTAATAATTTACAGATAATGCGGAACAGCAATACGGATCGAAAAATTTCAATTGAAATGCAATAGAATTTTCTAACGAATTCGCTAGGTTTTTTTATTAAATATTTTCGTGCGAGCAGGTAAGAATAATCAGAAAATTGGCGGCTCATTTTATTCCGAAATTCCGGATGAACTTTATCATTTCAGAACAAATTACCCGACAATCAGTGAAGTTTTTCCCTCGATACAGAGTCAAGAAAACCCAGAGCGAAATTTCGCTCCGCAATTGCCTGATTTTTTCAGCAATTTTTCCTCAACTCTTTTCTATTCTCCCGTATTATTAATTTTGTATCCGTAGCTTTGCTGTGATAGAACGATTCTCAGACGCTATTACTATTTGCTATGCTCCTAGACTATATACCAACCAGCTGATTAGTTCGTGCATCTAATCGTGCATTTCACAGACTGTCGTTATGCGGTATTAGAGAACATGCTGCATTCAATTAATTTGGCGATCATTGGGAGAGAGTGGGGCGAAGTGGAACGTTTTTTATCCACTTTAACCCTCGGGTGGTCACCTCATGAGGGAAACGCCGCGGCACGTCGTTTTTACTCAACGAGACCGAACGCGCATTGTGACAATCCGAATTGTAACAATCATAATTGAAAATCTCAAAATTAAATTAATCATTAATTAAAGTTGCCGCCTCAGACGACTGGAACCAATGCGGAATAAGCGTGACAGACTTGCGAGATATCGATAGTTATCGACTTTAAGCGTATTTTCCTTTTAGAATAAGATTTCATGTTCAAAAATTTTTTTTTGTGTAGAAATCGCAAAAAATGAAATTTTCACCCTTCTACTACCCTCAAGTATGTTTCCCAGGGGGTTTGTGATTTTTTAGGGGATTGAGGGAGTCCTTAGGAACATTCTCCAGTAGGAGGCGTTGAATGAAACTGCTCGTTACGCGACGTTGTCGGAAACTCGCGAAACGCGCTCGCGCAGTATAGAGTGAATTCGGCAACGCTGAAGCCTAAATAACGCAGCAGCGAATCCCCGCAGCGGTGACCAAGTCGCACCGACCGGACTAGGATTAATTCATGATGCGTTTCTTATGCAGAGACATATTAAGATTCTGAAGTGAAGGAATCACGGGATTTTGAGAAATAACGACAACGTTGACCAAATTGTCAAAAAAGCGACAATACACCCAAAAAAATAAGAGCTCATTTCAAGACTTCAATGGTCTTAAAATAAGATTTTCAAAAGTCTTAATTTGAAGCTGAAATTTTCAAGTTGAGTCTTGAAAGTTTCGATTTGAGACTTCCAAAAGTCTTAATTTGATCATAAGTCACAAAATAAAGCCTGTTTTTTGTATCCAAATTAGCGTTTCGATAGATCATTAGCTTCGCTAAATTATTTACTTATAAATTAAAAATAGATCTCTTTTATATTAGAAATCGCTAATATTCCATCGCTTGAGGGAGTTAAAATAATCAACGTTGTCGTTATTTCTCCAAATTCTCTGATTCAATCGCCTCAATTCACCGGAATGGAGACGATGCAGAACCTCAATTAGAATTTGGGTCGATGACAAGCGTTCCGCTCTGTCCCACTTCCCCTGTATAATGATTATGCCATTGCTGGTGAAAATTCGTATAATTTTTTCTTCACTTTATGCCTGTTGTCTCGCTTTTACATTTTTTATTGGTTCATGCTGCTTTTACTATGTCTAATACAACTCGTTCATTGGGCAGACATTCGTCTTGTTTCTCTTCTCATTCATTTTTGAATTTCGAAGGCTTCTCCCAATTTTTCTACGGCCATACAGAAGCGTCAAGCAGGGATTTTGATAACAAGGTACCAAGAAAATAACATTTCTTTTCTTTTTGTCGACATTTAATTATTTTCTCGGTTGGGGATATGTAGCATGGGGTACAATAACAACTCTATCCAAAGCATCTCTGTTGTCTAGGGTTAACAGGTCTATTCTTCTTCATGTATAAATATACGAAAAATTATTCATTATTAATTATTATATATTTTTTGTAATATTGTTTATTTATATTTCTTTTAATAAACAAGTGTTTCCTTGATTCAAACAGTGGCTTCATTGCGCTGAGAGAAAAAATTAACTCTGCCAAAAAAGTACGTTTCACGTGAGAATATTTGGTGGCGTGGAACAGATTTACTTGCACAAAAATTAAATTTTGGTCGTGACCATTAGAAATATCCCTAGAATTCGATCTGAGAGAACTCCATAGGTTTATACCATAGAAAGAATACATTGACGAGGAATGAAAATTGTTTTATAGAGTTGAATTAATAGCGTTCCCTCTATGGGAGCCTGGATCCCGTGAGATGAATATTAATAAAAAAAATAGAGTTGTTAACCGAATGCTTGTACTGGACAGAGTCATTACTACACAATTTCCTCATTCTGGGAAAAATAGCGGACTACAATTTCAATCATTCTTCAATTGATCTATCTCTATAATGCTTGTGATTATTTGATACCGAGTTACGTCGTAGGTCTGCCCGGGTAGTGCGGACGCCCCTGGAGGGAACGGGGATCGTGGGGGACCTGAAGGTGGACGACCCGGTGGTTTAACCCCATACAGACTGTACGATTCCTCCAACAGTTCTGTATCGCTACACCCCACCACCCCAACAAATCGTTTATTCGTCTTATTTATGTTTTTATTTGCTCTTGGAGAGGTTTTTCACAAACGTTCTCATTGTTTCAGGGAGAATTAGGGCTCGATCGATGTCAAAGTGAAAACAAGATGAATGTGAAAACAAATTCAAGGATATGATTGATTCAAGGATATTTTATACTCGAATGGGGCATGGGTGTGTCAATTCGAGGATGATTATCTCAACTGTACACTGAGAGAAAAACGACAAAGTTCTCAAACAAGTCTTACTTGTGCCAAGAAAATATTTTTTTGAAAATTATCAAAAAAGGATTTTTTTTGGGTCAAACATGCAGAGTGCGCTGGAATGAAAAATTTTTGTCGCAAAAATAGATTTAGAAGTTCAAAAAAAATTTCATTCTCTATAGACGCAAGAAACGTCATTTCTAGCACTACTCCTTCGTTATTCGATACTCCCATACGTATTTTGCTCCCGAAAAATCTTTGTTTCATGCGAAACAAGGGATAGTAGTTTTTCATTTCGGCTGTCTAATAATCACAGACAAGAAATGAACCCTTGAATAAAACAATAATAATGATATGATAGCAATCTTGTAACTTAGGGACAAAATATTTGTTGATAAATTTTCCTCTATATGAGATATTCTCATCCTGAAAACGCATCGTCTGGCGTGACTTATCCGCCTCTTGAGCCAAATATTTCGTTGCTGTCGAAAGCAGAACAATTATTGATGTTTGAAACTTTCAAATTCGAACCAAACAAATTTCTTTTTGGCAATTTTCAACTAGCGATTTTGTTGGCCTAAACAAGACTTGTTTGACAACGTGTTTGTTTTTCTCTCAGTGTCGTGTAAGGGTCAGACACTAAGTGGGAGAATATAAGGGTCAAAAAGTGGAGGTTAAAAAATGAGGGGCGGAATATTAGAGTCAAAGTCTGAAGGACTAAATGTAAAGGTGAAGGAATGAGGGTCGGAATATTAGGATCAAAAGAATTAAGGTCAGAATGTAAAAGTAAAGAAATACCCATCTCCCGATTGAGTACAAAATATACTTGAATCAAATCATTTAATATTTGAGAGGAGGCCAGTGATTTTGGGATACTCGGAAAATTTTACCTGGCCTCTTCGTCGATTACTGGCGTAACTGTCCCGGAATATTGCGAATAGTACGGCTCCTCGTAGCTGCTTTGCGTGCTGTAACCTGGGTACCTCGAAATTCCAGCTCCTACCCCACCACTGCGCTCCGGACTGCTCATGTACCCGCTTTCTCCATGAAGACGATCTGTCAATTTTATCACAATTCATTATGACTTTCGGTTGATCTTCACCTTTTGAGTGCATGAGGAAATAGCAACGAAGCGTGAGAGTCTGTGCCATCAACTCGTTGGACAAATCAATTTCTCTGGGTTTAAGGATATCCAAGTACTTCAGCATTTTTCTTATTTGAAATCCTCTTATATCTGCAATTACATGACAACTTCCATATACAAATCCTTCCTCTCCCCCCTCCATTTTTTGAGAATGAATATACGTGGAACAAAATTATTGATAATAATTTCCAGGGATGGTAAACAAGATAAAATATAGTTTTTCACTTCAGTTATTAAAAATATCCCACTCTCCCTCGTCCTCTTCCGCGAATATTCATTTTGAAAGGGGGAGAGAATATTCTTTGAACCGACGAAGTAAAAATTCATGTTTATCCTCCTAAATTTTACTTGTGTCAATTAAAAATTCAACAGTTACGCTACAATTTTCTACTCCATCACATTTTAATTTTGTCAGTCGTGTATTTTCATCCAGCATGTCGTAATTTTTCATTTATTCTCAAAATTACCGTATTGTTTTTTTTCAATTACCATATTAAATAGTAAATTTTCGAGTGAGGCGCGTATGGTCTTGCATTCTGTCTCTCATATTAAAAATTCCTATGTTCCCCGAGCAAAAAATATTTTTTTACAAAAGGCAATTCAATTTAAAAAACTGCTGTTTGAAAAAGATGAATGAATTCATAAACAAATAAAAAACTGAATAACAGACCTTTTATAAAATACTTGGACATCTTTAATTCAAGCTCTACTGGTTTCTACAAATTCATCTCAAATTCCGTGGTTTCGAGGCATGCATTTGTCAAACTAAGCAATGAATTGCTGGACAAAAAAAAATTCAAAATTGGGGATTACCTTCAACACAATTGAACTTTCTACAGGAATTAATCAAAACAGATTTACTCAGCAATAAATTTCCCTCCCAAGCCCTTATCTTTCACCAATAGCATGTTGACAGGTGAATTACAGATCATTAACCTGTCGTGAAAAATGATATTGATAGCCTAGAGAATACTGAGAAAACAAAAATAACAATAATCGCTATTGCGTACGGTTTTTTTTTCGCAGATTAGATTTTTAGTCTGAGATACCGGTGAAAATTGTAACCTGAAGCCGTAGGGGGTTGGTGGCATATTTTTTCTGGCAAATGTTTGCGCAATTCCCCGGGGGATAAAGAAATATTAGCGCCGTTGGCCGAAGCTTTAAGGATTCCACTGACCTGGTATACTATAAAGGGATACTGAGCTGTCTCTAGAGAAGCGTGCCGAGCCCCCTAGGCTGCCAAGGGGCGTCTTACCGCACTGGTATCCCCGGAGCGGCTTGGCTGGTGCCACTCCACCACCTATCCAAGTATTTTAGATCAGGAGAGCACCAACAATTTTTAGGTAGCAAGCAGAGAAAAGTGTTTATCGGTTTAAATATGAAGTTATTTGGTTATTAAATAAACTGGCATTTGTCACTCGATGGGCGCTACAAACACTCTGTTTAGAATAAATCTCCGGTTGATAACTCTATCGAATGTCAGCAGAAATGAAAATATCGAGAATATCGAGAAATGAAAATGTTTTGAGCCTTACACCCAGAGAAATGACGCGTTCGACTGAGAAAAAAACTGTTCATTTGATAAAGATAAGGGCAGACGAGTATATTCCTTTTTTCAAACGACTGTTTATAATCATTCTCATTGCAAAAAGCAATACGACCGATGAGAATCAGGTCCCAATTTATCAGTTGTTAAATTTTCATATTACAAAAATTATTTGCTCAGGTTCTTATTCCTATGCTCACTGAATAAGATTCTAATCATAATTACAATGCAATTCCTTCTAGAACACTTTAGAGTGTGGATTTCTGGAATTCAATGTTTGTAAAATTACTGGTACTCTGGTAAAAGTGCGTGCCCACGCTGTTATCAATTTTTAGTTAGTTCACACGGTAATTCAATTAGTCTGTTGTTCATCCCATCAATATAATTCCGTGCTTGGAATATTGAGTCACAGCTTCTTTTTATTCATATCAGAAATTTTATATTAATATTATTTGTTCAGAGTGAAAAAATCGATCATCATTTTCACTTATTGCATTCAGATTCTCCTATCCTTACCGTCGAAAATGTGACATAATCTCATAATTCTAGCTATTAATTCTAATCAACTTTGTTCGAAGAAAACCTTAGTAAACGCAATATTAAGAAAGTTGAATTATTCTACTTTCCTCTGACCTAAATGATTTGGACAATTATGATTCGTTTATTCATGTTTCATAAACTTGCATGCTCCCTACACGACAATACAGGGCACTATTCTCATTTCTATTCTAAAGGAAAATATTAATTAATCAACCGCATATACAGGGCTACAGTCATGCACGTGATCCGCTACAGCTCATGCTCATTTTTTCACGAAAAACGGGATAGCGGGGTGGGGTGGGAGGAAACTGAAAAAGTAATTTGGGGCAGCGGGAATGGATATACTCTACCTGGCGTGCCCAGGGTCTTCGGTTGGGCTGGGGTTGCATTTGGTCCCGCAAGGACAGCAGGGGCTGCTGGACTGTAGGCTCGCATGATTGGTCCACCTCTGGGCAACGTACTGCTTCCGCCCATGTAATAACTTCCCGAGGTGGAATTTTTCGCCGTCTGTTTGAAACATAAATGTAAAATATTCATGAATATTCAATTAATAGCGTTATTAATTCACATGAATGCAAAGTATTTATTAATTCGTCATTAAATTGTCACTAAATTCGTGTTTCATGATTTATTTTTATTGGATAAATAAATTAAATACGGAGATTGAAGGAAAAATAATTACGCACATATTTTACGTTTTTTTTATTGCCGGCAGTTACGACGTCTTGATTCAGACATTTTTTATTGTTTTTAACTCATGAAAATTGTACTTCAAGAAGTTTTCTTTGAAATGAAGGAAAAAAAGTGAGGCAAAAGGTAGATTTCCCTCTTCGAAACGTAATTTTTTGCAGGTAAACAGGGAAGCTTGTAAATTGCTGGGGGAAAAAGGCAAAAAAAAGACTAATTTTTATCGCATTCTCAGCGAATGTATACGGCAGCCGGAATTTTCTTGCTATTTTCCGGCGATTTTTTTCTCCGCACAATTTTTTAATCCCGGAGTAAAAAAAATTATGCAAAATCCCGATTAGGCAGTGAAAGTATTGTGTAACATGTCTTCATTCTCATTCACGCTGAAAAGAAAACAAGTTAGTGGGCTGACGGGAAGAGAGTGAGACTTGTTTCTTACGAAATTACATGGAGAAGGCATTTTGAAGAGATTCTTTCTCCGTGTGGTTTGTGAAGAGAATAATCAGTAACAATTATAAACAGTATCGAGTGAACCTCAAATAGTCGGAATATTTTGTTGAGGATCCTCCCCGCTAGATACTACTTCAACATGATTGCTTCAAAGTGACCTTGAATTCGGTTTAGAGGGGACAAGTAATGAAATTGCGAATTTCACTGGAAAAGAAAATCAGCAAATGTCAAATTTCCTGAAAATTCACTGAACGTTTCAGATTTCTTCTCTTTCATTCCTATAAAAATTTCCGGAAAACGATTCTCCATTGCGGATTACGTGAATTGTTCCGTAATTTTTACTGAATATTTCTCTCCGAGCACCACTCTATGTGCACTCCGCAGTCTCAACAGCAAATTAAAAAAAGTTGAATACCTTCGCCCTTTACCCTCGTCCCCTGAATGTTTAAAATAATCTCAACACATGTCCAACCCTCTTCACCCAGCAGTGGACCTGTCGGTGCAGTCCTCACCGAAATTTAAATTACCCCACATAAATGTCTTCTCCAACCGCATCATCACAAGACAAAATCCACTTAAAATCCACATAATGTCTCATCAAATAATACTTCAGGATCTACATAAAATTCACATAATGTCTTATCGAATAATATTTTATACACGTAATTTGTGACTGATTACTTATCTTTCCATTGAACATTCAAATGAGTTACAGAATTCTCGTCTGCCTACTGCTCAATAGTTTAAAAATCCGCTGAACTTTCAGTAAAATCCGAAATGTTGCAATTCAGCAGTGAAGTGGTAAAACGGTACAAGTCAATTTTGATTATAGACTAGTTTTCAATGAATATCTCAGAATCTAAGGGAGATAACAAAATTCTTATTATAACCTTTTTTGTAGAGCCAATTGAGAGCAACAACAAATGTAATTACGGAAATTTCGCTATCTCCCTTAGATTCGGAAATATTCATCAAAAACTCAATTGGGAGCTAATTCGAATCAAATCTATCTCCCTAAATCAACTACTCATCAAATTTCAATTGTCCCTAACAACATACTCATTACAAACTCCATCCAACCACCACTTTACATATCAACCCCGCACTCAAACAAATTTAACAAATTTTTTTTTTAAATTTGTTTTTTTAACAAATTTTAAAAAATTCAATACCTTCGCCCCCAAAATTTTCAAAACAATCTCAACACATTTCCGGCCCTCTTCACCCAGCAGTGACCCTTCCGTTGCAGTCCTCCCCCAAATACCGGAGTCCACTCTCCCCTAATCATCGAACCGATTACCCCACATAAACGCCTTCCCCAACGGCATCATCACAAGGCGAACCCACGTAAAATCCACCAAACATCTCATCGAGCAATACTTCTCAAGGTCAAGCCCGAATGCAGCCCATCCGCACGTTTTTAAATTTCTCTCTGATGAATGTCGCCGAACGACTGCGTTCGGAAGAGGGGGCCAACCACCAGTGGCTTCGGAATACGTTTTGTAACGTCTTGGTGAAAACGCTGAGACAAGTGGATGTCTGCTGTACTCGTAGAGGCGTGTGCAGAGTGAAATGTGCCATGCGTGCTGTGTAAGTAGGCGGCGTTTTGTGCGATCGATGAGGCTCGAGAGGATGCTCTAGTTTATTTTAAAAAAACTAGGTGCAAAAAGAGATGGAAATGTGTATAATGTAAATGGGTATTCATAACTCCGGGCGCTACTGAAGGAGGCTGGACGTATCGATTCGGTACTCGGAGGGAATAATGTGATATTTCAGTGGTTAAAGGGAACACTTATGATACACAGGAGATGTTTATACTTGAATGGATTTTAAAAAGTGATGAAATGGCGATTTAAAGACGAAGGAGTTGAATTTTTCGCCGTAATTGAGGGCTTTTTTGTCGCTCAACACTTTTCGGATGGATTTTTAGAGTTTTTTATGGACTTGGTGGAGACAGTGATTGAGTGGGCAATTAAGGCGGAGAAAAAAGGTCCCGAAGCGCACGCGACTTGATCACAATACGAGCGATATTGCCCCGGGATGTTATCCCCTTCTGCTGGGAGACACTAAAAAGCCGACGCGTTTCGTTTGGTTTATCTACTGGCGGCTTGCACCTCTTCGCATCGATTTGCGGTCCACGTTGGGACGTGGTACAGACGTGATACTGAGTCACAAACTCTGAGAACTGGTGACAGTTCACTGGAGACGCCTCGGTTGAGCGCTGATTTTGGGGGTTTATCCGGGTTTTAGATAATTATTTATGTATTCTTGATTTTTGGAAGTTTTTTCTTCACGGGAATTGATATGGACGGGCTTGGGATGTGGGTGACACTCCTGATTTGCATGGAGAGTTATGCCATCGGGGAAATTGGGGCTGGGGGTTCGCAGGGCGGGTTCGACGCCGGGAGGAGGGCGACTGCGGCTTCGATGCATAAGGCTGTGCTCACACAACGGGGGTACATTCAGGTAATTTTTTCGTATTGGTGCTTATGGCTGGGAGAAATATTGAAGATTTAACAGAAATGTCGAGTGACTCTTATTGGTGATTAATTGGTAATTATGTTCATTTTATTTTAATTGGAAATAGTTTTTTTATTCATGATTTTAATCAAGAGATTAAATTTTTTTTTTTTGAGTGATAAGTATTGTAGAATTAGGAATTTTCATTATTATTTGGTTGTAATTTTTATTTCAATTATTTCCAGGGATATTAAAACAATTTGAAATCTCATGGTTGTCTGTAATCGTGAGTGGAATCGTCAGATTTTTTTTCATTTTATTTTAATCGACAGAAATATTAACGATATAAAATAACTATTGACTAATATGTAAAAGGCCGAGAGGTCATACATGCCTGAATAAAAATTAATTAACTATTGACTGACTGTTATAAATGGTTAATTAATAATTGTCATAATTTTATTTTGAACGAAAATATTTTTTTTATTCATGATTTCAATCGAGAGAAATTAATTGTAATCAAGAGATTAAAAAAATGTTTATTGAATAATAATTTGTACGTACGATTAATTAGTATTTGTTGATAAGTTCGTGAAAATTCTCTTTTTTTTTCTTTTTGGCGGCATTTTTTCAAAGTTCAAAGTGAGACGACTGGAAATCGTCAGTTTGATTGCACTGACTTCTGTAGAATAGTTAGCGTCGAAAATTGCTATCTAGCCGAAGAATAGGGGAGATTTGTATTCAATAAAACTAGATATGATGTACATTATTAATGATTACAGTTCCTACGATGGCAGTTGCCAGTGCCGGAAATCCACGAATTCACATTCTGCGAGTGGATCAAGTCCACCAACCTCACATACCCCCACTCGATATTCTCGTACTCGAGTAAGTAATCGATACAATAACAAGTATCACAATTATCAGTTTCGATGAGAAAATGGATGGGAATTGTAATTTTCAGTTCAATTATTCCACGAAAATTGAGACAAACTTGAACGTAAATTACGTTTGAGAAGTTGTCTTTTACGCTTTCTGAAGTGTATTCGTAAATTACAATAATTACTCCGCATTTTATGTTTACTCATCTGTAATTAACGGATAAGTAAAAAAAAGTCATTTCAAGCCTAAAATACGAGTTTTTTTTCGTAAAATACGTTTCTATTAAGATTATAATTTCCGATTTCTTAAGCGTAAAATACACTTAATGAAACATAAAAGACGCTTTGTTTGGGGGTAATCTACGTTTTTATGCTGAACGTAAAAAACGACTTTTTGAATCCTACACTGTTGGAAATGTTTTGAAAATTAAGCAATAATTGCACTTGCATTTAAAATCAATGTCGTTCTCCTGATGATTTTCGTCAATAGCGTAACAATGAGGATGGAGAGTCCAGTGCGTGTGCGTGGGCATAGTATCCCGGTAATTGTGGGAGGTACGGTTGTAGAATTACGAGATGTCAGTGGAGAATTCCCCCTTTCTGTCCGCGGACACACGTGAAATACAAAACAGACGAGGCATGTGAGATCAGACGACGTTGAATGTGAAAGTAGTGCATTGTTAGATCCAATTGAAGAATTCTATTGGTGATAAATAAATTAGTGTCACAGTGAATTGTCAAAAACTCTGTGATTCCAATCAAGAAAAAAAATCGACCCGAAAACCGCACGAGGTGTGGACCAATGGTGAACACACCGCATTAACTGGCACCGCATTGATAATATGAACAATCTCCATCCATTTCATGGATCCAGTCCTCCTGTCCGTGGGACAAAAATCCATGAACAATAATAATAGTTCTCCATTGGATAGAAAAATCC